ACACACACACACACACACACACACACACACACACACACAAAGGCAGTCACAGGCCAAGTCATTTTTCAAATATGACTGCATTGTTGGTGGGAACAGGTTGGTGCACTTCAGCCCACAGTGTGGACCTGCTGAGCATCAGATCAGTTTGAGTGCTCTGACTGGTTCCCAGCGTCAGGCTGAGGTGGACTAATCGCCATGGTTTTACCCTCAGCCAAGTATTGTTACATCGCTCATGTACCACACACACACACACACACACACACACAGACGGCTGTGTCTCAGCCCCCCGTGTGTGTTCTGATGTCGATGGCGTTAATGCCCCCCGTCAATCGCCACTGAACCCTCTGAACCGGACTCAGAGAAGGCTGAAATGGGCTTCATTTGCAGGTTAGCTCGTCCGGCTGTGACTCACCAGTCTAGACTGCCAGCCAGTGATCTAACACACACACACACTGAGCTGAGGAAGGGACCACCGGCGGCTTTCATTAGCATCCTCAGAGGAAATTTTGGCACCCCTTGTTTTAGTTTGAGCTGCACACCTTTAACCTGCGTGTACAGCGTGCTGAAACTCATCTCCATCTGAAGGAGATCTTGAAATGAGTACGGTTCATGATCTTGATCATCTTCAGAGAGATTAACTGTACTTGTTGTCAGGGATGTAGCAGAAGAATGTGTTGTCTATATCCTTGTGTGATGGACAATATTTATAAAAAAACTGAGACTAATCCATCACTTCAGGGTCATCTTGATTTTCTATGGCTGTAAAGTGCTGAGAGTGTCATGTAATGAGCTCCTTTGCTGTATGATTAGGATGGATTGTGCTGGGAACAAATTTGCTGCCTTTCACAAACCAACACACTTTAAACATCTTTAGTTTGCTCAGCTGTTCAAAAACAAGGATCATCATCACTCAAGATGTTACAGCAAATGCTGAGCATTTCTCCCCTTGCATGCAAACGGAAGTATTTGATAGTGTCAGAGCAAACAGCAGGAAAACGTTGACGCTTTCCACCCACCAATATTTAATCAGTATTATGCTTTGGAGCAATCATCTTCCCTCATTGGTGAAGTCTTTTCCAGGCAGAGAAGGACTGGGTTCTGCGAAAAACAACTCAGGAAGGGCTGAAAGAACACAAAGAAACATTTGATCCCCAAACTCCCTGCTCACCAATCTGTAGGGATGTGATGGCATCCGTGGGAAGTGAGCCTAATCCACAGAAATCCCACACGGCAACCCACAAGGCCCAAAGGATCTGTTCCCACTGTCCTAAAAGCAGACCCTCGTGGACGTCCTCGAATGTTTACTTTGTCCGCATACTGACTGGTCAGAGCTCTTTTTTGCTGTATGTGGCGGACCAAGATTGTACTGAGCTGATGGACATGATGTGAATGAAGGCCGGGTGCCGTGGCTTTCACTGTCCTCACCCCTGGACTCTGCAGAACTTCTATGGAAAATGTTGGTGTAGCATTTCTGACAGCTATACACTACTTTGGCAGAGAAGTCCTTTCCTCCTGTCTAATTATAACAAATGCAACTGATACCAAGGCACTCTGGGGCTTTTCTTTAATCTATATGGTTCTGTGACATATCCTGAAACACGCATTTCAGTTACCTCAATCAAGACATGACACTTGCTAACAGTCAGATGTCTTGAGAGGATAAAGTCGGAAAAGTCTTTGCATCGCAATATGATAAAGTTTGTCTGTAAGAAGACATCATTTTTCTTTTCCTTTGTACACTCGTGCTTCCCTTTTTTTTCTGCTTAATTCTCTTTTGTAAACATAATCCACACATGGATCCAGCGGCAGATCCGTTTATCTGTGGTCGATTGAAGGGAATAATGCAGGAGGCTTTGGCGTAATGTGGCGTTACACGTCTGAGTATGTTGTTGTGATTGTGCACGACAGCGTGAACGAGTGAAGAGCTCATATCTGCGCTGCTCTCGACCGTACAGTACAGATCCTGTTCTGCTTGTCTGTTGAGCAATACCAGTTTTTTTTCTTTTCTTCCGTGGTTGCAGACTGCACAGGAAGAAAACATATTTATGCGTGACACCTTGTAGGGATCGGAGTCAGGACTGCAGAGAAAGGGCACATAAGACCAGCTTTTAAAAAAACAAAACAACGTATTTCCATGTTGAGAGTACTGACTCCTCTAGTAGCATTGAGTCAGTCTTCTGTGTTGCTTGTCGTGCACACGCTGGTACACACAGACGCACGCTCCCCGCAATAACTGGAACACTTCCACATACAGGTGTGGCTTCAAGCTGGCTTTCAGTTTTCAGTCTTCAGTCTCAAGCAGCTCAACAGAGGAAGCACAAAGTCATCCCACAGCCTCACTTTTGGAATAACAGCACCATACCATTAGAAAAAAGATCAAGGGATTAGAACGTTTGTTTCCTTTTGAGCCAAAAGATATTATACTCACTGTTTAAAATGAACAGGATTGATTAAACTGCTTTGTAACGTCACGATTAAACATTGTGACTTCGTAATTGTGAGGATGCAAGACAATCTTTTTTTAAATTTATATCTAAATTCAAATCAATCTTTGCGAGGCTGGATTAAATCTCTTTTACATTAAAACATGGCAAAACTGCTTTAAACTGTCACAAGCTGAACGGTGAGGACAGAATTCATCTCAGTAATTGTGAGACAGACTGGAATCAGTAATGTAGCGCACCACCTTATGCACCAGAAGTGAGGGGAGAAATTTAAGCTCTGCTAAGTATAACAACCGTTCCTCACTTAACAACTTTAATTAGAACCGAATATCATATTAGGTGCTGTGGGATCTCTCTGCTGTGACTCATCAGCTGTGCTCTGTGTTGACAGCCCCAGCAGAGTCCGGCGCTCACGTGTAGGTTACAGTGAGTCCACAGATGTGCAAAGGTGACATGGTGTGCAGCAACAGTTTTGTAGAACTGTCCCTCTTTCCCCCGTACATGAGTCATCAACGTCACTTGTTGCTTTTACATACGAGGGACATCAGGACGACTGACACCAGGACAGACATGTGCCCTCTACAATGTTCCCGTAGCCCACTTAGTATGAAACCACCTAAATGATCAGTCATTTCATTCCACACAGCAAGTTAAATGAAAACTCTGATTGTTGTGCATATCAAAGCTTATAGTCAACGGATGGCTCGCTTCCAAGGAGCAAACTACATGCAAAACAGACAATAAACTGAGCGGATGACTTGGACTCAGCACGGCCAACATTTGCTCCTCAGTTTCTGTTGTTGTGTTTGCTCTGATTTTTCTTACAAGTTCAGTTTTTACCAAGAATAACCTGGGCAGATTCTGTGCATTTGATTTGTTGGAAAAAAGGGTAAAGGTTACAAAATTTACAAGTATTTTGACATGCAAAAACAATACAAAAGTCACAGATCAGGCAGTTGTTTACGGATTTAACGTAATGAGCCAACAAGAAACGGGTCGGTTTGAACAACTTGAAGGGAAGAATATCACCACTTTCAGCCTAAAGGATGCAAACATGCACTGTTGCCATGTGCTTGTTCTGGGGAAGGAAAGTAGTCCACTTAAATGACCTAGTTGAGAAAGTCAAACTTTAGCAGGATGAAATTGTGCACGAACACCTACAGTTAGTTTAAACAGTTTAAACAGAAGAATCCAGGTCTGAAGACCCAGCTCTGTTAAGAACTCGAGCACCTGAAATGTGGAGGGGTCCAAATCAGCGCTGATATATGTGCTGAAGGCAGCATTATTACATCTGACTGTGTGTGAATTTGTCCGCGTGTGCACAGGAATGTTACATAGCTGATGGGTCTGACACGGCCACCGTCTCATAAACTGGAAGGTCACAGGTCAGGGCTGCATCTTTGAACGAGTCGCTGACCCGCGGAGCAGCCTGTGCTCCCCTGGTAGCATGAGCACGCGTGTGTCATCTTTTAGATATGCAGCGACACACATTGCTCTGAGATGACACTATTCAGTTGAGTTGAGCAACAACTCGCAGACCGAAACGAAGCGAGGAGATGAAAGCGGAAAGTCCCATCTCACGCTAATTTCGAGGCACAAAAGTAATGTGTTCCAATAGTAGATTAACATACGGGTAATGAAAAGACGGCGGCCAGACAGACGAGTCAGTGATAAAAGAGGGAGTATTTTAAGCTGCAGAGATTGAGGGGTGGGCAGCTCCTCACAAGGCCACTCGTACACACAGGCGTTGCTGAGGGACGTTTGGAGAGCAAACAATGAGGGGATAACAGGAGGGGAAGCTGAGAGCCAGAGTAAAGCACACTATTAGAAATGGAAATTCTACTCCGTTGTGCTTTTAGTTACAGCACATTTACCTAATCCAAGGAGCTGGAGAGCGCTGCTTTGTCCGCATATGCCTGGTAGTTTGTGTGACTTCCACTGAGTCTGCCTCTGTTTGCATTTCTGTTTTATTAAAAAGAATATTTAAAAAGCGAGAGAATAAAAGCAGAGTTGTTGTTTTTTCTCAGCTGGATATGTAAGAGTGTTTTCCATGATGACATCATTGAAGAAGGCAGTGAACAGTCATTTAATTTGTTATTTGACACAGGCAGCAGCTACTGGGTGTGTATTTTTGGCAGCCGCCCTGCTAATCGTCGGCCATTTGTTGGAGTAGCTCTCTTCCCGGTTTTAATGCAAGTCTGATATATGCTTTAACAGCCATTACTTCTTTGGTAGTCGTAGTAGTTGCTTTGTAGTACTTTTGGTATATGCTCAATATTCTGCTATCAGAAGGACACACTACAAATGGCAGATGCTTATATTTGGTAAGCACATGTGAAAACCATCCTCTAACTGCCCGCCAGAACTTCCTGCTCCTCCAGTGATGTGAATCCGTCCAGCCATCTTCCTCAAAAGGACAGAGATAGCACAGCAGTGCGGGGTGAGGGGGCTCAATCAAGAAAAGTGTGTGACTATTGAAGGGCTGTTGGAAGGAAGCCAGAGGAAGTCATTTATAACCTCCAAAGAGGAGGGACTGTGCACTGTGTGACTGCCTGCTAAGGCATGGGAGCTATGTGTCTGCAAAAGTCCTCCTGAATTGCAATGCTGTATGACCCTGAATGTAATGCTGTGTGTGACCTGCTGTTGGGAATCTGGGCTCGGTGCTGCTAGAGCAAAATATATATGCTGAGAGTCTTAGAGTGAGGCAGTGCATGTGGGTTGTATTTCAGTGTATCCATTCAAGGATGTATGCAAACTATGTAGGTCTCAAACCTTTACACTTATCATCACTTGAGTCTGTAATGTCATTTAAAACGGTTTATTCAGTGGATATGATTTTCTTTCTTTTTTTAAATTTACTTTCTAAAGTTGTATCTTTTCATGGTAAAGTCACTATATAGCTTTTTTCGATATTGCCTCTGTGAGTGTGTCCATTCGTACGGGTAAGATAGACTTTGTTGTCATGATGCTCATAAAGCCCTTCTCATAAATGCACCCAGGTGAAGTAAAGGGGCTTAATGTGTTTTGCAGTGTGCCTGGGTACAGACATGAAGCTGGCCCTGCCCTCCAGCCTGGAAAATCACTACGAGACCCTGAGACTGCTGTACACTGGCTGCCAGGTTGTCCATGGCAACCTGGAAATTACACACCTCCATGGAAACCCTGACCTCTCTTTTCTGCAGGTATTGCACGACTTCAACTCTTTGTAAAAAAATGGAAGTGTGTTATCTATAAGCTTAACAAATTGGAAACTAATTTGTCACAAAGTTTTCAGCCAATTAGCTCTAGTTGGTCCGTCATTTGACTTATTTCCCCCGTCTTCTTTCCCAGGGCATTGTGGAGGTGCAGGGTTATGTTCTGGTTGCACATGTCTCGGTGAGCCTCGTGCCTTTGGATAACCTTCGGATCATAAGAGGCAGCCAGCTGTATAACTCCAACTATTCACTGGTCGTGTTGGATAACGCTTGGGACAATCAGGGACTGAGAACCCTCAGGCTTCGAAGCCTCACAGGTCAGTTCATTTAATTAACAGAGTTTTTCCTCAAGCTCTGAACTTGGATTTGTCACCGTACGTTTGAGGTGTTTTGGCTATGTTTTCATTATCACCTGCTACTGTGACATGCTCACACTGTGAGACCTAAACGCGCACTTGCATATCGTCTCTCTTGCAGAGATTCTGTTAGGTGGCGTTTATATTTGGGGGAACCCCCAACTGTGCTTCCCGGACCCCCAGAGCATCATTTGGAAGGACACATTGGATGAGAAGAACGTGAACTTCGGGTTGCACCGACTGCAGCCGCGGGCCCCTAAATGTGAGCAGCTGACTGAGTGATTGAAATACTGATCCTCCCACCGCGTAGTACAGAAAAAGAAATGTCTGGCAGATAGAGACAGCCCTGCACTATTTGCATCGGAGAAAAAACTGACTTGGACACAGACGTGTTGAAACCCCCTCAGGGAATCACAGAAACATTTTTAGGTAGTCTATATCCGTGTGATTGAACAATTCGAATATGAGTGAGTGGTCCAACACATATCACGCTGTCTAAAAGATAATTATTAACCCAATAGAATGAAATGCAGGTTAGTCAAGTGAGTCAAACCCCTCAGAAGTAATGTCTTTAAAGCTTAATGTCTGCTTAATGGCAGCAGATAACACCATTAAGACCTTTGGGGACAAATTGAATTGTTTTTTCATGACAGAAACTGAGTTAGCATAAGTACTCAATTTAGTACTCTATCACTTTTATCTGTTATCAAACCATCAGGTTATTCAGTCTATCATTGTGTGTTCTTTTTATGGTACAGGTCCAAATTGTTCCCCAACCTGTGAAAAAAGCTGTTGGGGAGAAACTGCACAGGATTGCCAGATATGTAAGTTTGACTGATCAAGCCATGATTGTTTGGATTTACTGAGAAATACACAGCCAAATGGTTCCGTGGAACTTTCTGTGTGTGGTTTCCACGTTCTCCCGGGTACTCCAGCTTCCTCCCAGCAAAAAACAAAACATGCTTGTTAGTTTAATTGGAAACTCTAAGTGGGTTTTTGAAGTGAGCGTGCATGCATGACTGTGTCATTTGTCCCTGCGTGGCCCGGTGATGCACACCACCTCCCGCCCAATCACGGCTGAGATGGGCTTAAGCTCCACCCCTTGTGACCATGCATTTTAATAACCGTGAGCAGAATATGGTCAAACTAAAGTGTCACTGAAAGTGTTGCCTTTCACTGTCCAGTGACCAAAATTAAGTGTGCGTCCGGCTGCCAGAGGTGTAAAGGTCCACTTCCTAATGACTGCTGTTACAGCCAGTGTGCGGCTGGATGCACCGGACCCAAAGAGTCAGACTGCCTTGTAAGTCACACGCACACACACACACACACACTCTTGTTTCATCATCTTGTCAAACAGATTTCTGCCTTTGCTGTCTCCTCCTTCCTGCTCTCTCCAGGCGTGCCGTCATTTTAATGACAGTGGTGTTTGTAAAGAGAACTGCCCTCCTCCCACCATCTACGACACTCTCACCTTTCAGTCCAAACCCAACCCAGACAAAAAGTTTAAATTTGGAGCAACCTGCATCAAGACCTGTCATTGTAAGAACTTCACTAAAAATATCCAGTTTCCAAAATGGCCACCTCAGTGCTGTTTTGATTATGAACTGTATGCTGGGTTCAGATTAAGTTTCTTTTACGCTCTGTGTGTGGAGATGTAGTTATTTGATTACTTTATTTGTTATTCATGGATGCCTACACTCCTATTTCTCCTTCTTTGTAGACAATTATCTGGCTTTCGACATGGCTTGTACGTTGGTTTGCCCCCGGGCCAACCAGGAAGTTATCGTCACCCAGCCCGACGGAACTGAAACACAGAAATGCGAAAAGTGTGAAGGAGATTGTCCTAAAGGTGAGGGCCATGCATTGTTGGAGAGAAAGAGAGTCTTTATAAGTGAACCTCTGAATGTGCCCTGAAGCACAGCACATGTCACAACTACAGTCACTCACAGTGTGTAGCACGCCAGTAATGTCCACTCTCCCTGTGTGTCACAGTTTGTTATGGGCTGGGTATGGACAACCTCGGTGTCATGGATAACCATGGCGTCACCATGGTAACGTCCTCTAATGTGGAGCAGTTCAACAAGTGTAAAAAAATCTTTGGAAGTCTTGCTTTCCGCCCACAGAGCTTTGCAAGGTAAGGGACATCCAAATAAAACACAGAACCTAAATTTGACTACAAAGGTCAGAGGGTGACTGCTAGTTTCCAACTTGGAGGAATTTAGCTCTAGAAAAAAAGGATATGCAATGGGAACGTCTTTCCCACTGATTCACTGTCATGGTCTTTAAAACCTTTACAGCACTTCATATCAGCAGATGAAAAGCTGCAATTTGCTTTTGCCATTAAATTAAAATGATATTGTAATAACGTCCAGAATGGTATCGCAGACCAAAAGACTGTAATTTAATGGGTTGATGTGGAAAACGATGATTGATGCTACTGTTGGCTTTGTTCAGGGACCCTGTTACCAACACATCTGGCCTGACTCTTGAGCAGCTGAGCGCCTTCAAGAAACTGGAGGAAATTACAGGTATAGATTTATATAAGTTTCTGTAAGCCTTTTTCAAGAAAAGGAAAAATAAAAGAAAGGGGATTCAAATAGAATTGATCTTATACCGTTTACCTTTAAATGCTCAGTATTCTTGTCTGATTTTTACTTAATTATATATTCTTTTATTTTCCTCTGGAAGGTTATCTGTACATTGATGCCTGGCCAGAGGAGTGGACTAACCTGAGTGTGTTTGAGAACCTGAAGGTGATCAGAGGCAGGATGCTCTATATGTAAGTCCACGCTGGACGTATGCACGGTTTTGTATCACCGTTTTGAATTGCACCCAAACGCACGCACCATTCTGCTTGGGTTCTGTCTCCTATTATGGCTTTCACTATCAACTTCACAAGTAAATCATAACATAAAAAAAGGAAAAAATCAAGAAATAGGGGAATGTGTATATAGTGTATTCAGAGACAGAAAAAATGTTAAATCGCCGATGAAAAGCAGCAAAAATATATTCCAAATACGGCGTCATTTTCTCTCAGTGTTGTGCGTCAGTGCATGCCAGAGTGTTGAAGTCCGCCCGCTCACACTGTGTCTTTGTTAGTGCTCTCTTTTTCTCGTCTGCTGCAGCACTCTGCTCACTTCCCCAGTAATAATTGCTAATTATTAGCCAGCTCTGCTGCTTAGACGTGAAGGGCACGCTGGTGAGCGCCCAATGAGTGAAGAATGCTCAAACTAGGTCAAGTATGTTATTTCATACGGTCATATTGTGAGGCACAGCGCATAGCTGTTTATTACAGCGTTCTTTGTTCTGCGTTGTAATTAGGGTGTCTCATTTACAGTCTAACTCTCAGTGTATTCCCCTTTGTGTTCCTGTGCATGTGTCTTTTAAAGCTTCCCGCGTCGCTTGATATTCTATGAATGACTTTCTTTTTTTTCTGTCAAAAAATTGTTTTCAGTAACACCAGCTCTCTTCCTGTCTATAGGGGTGTGTTTTCCCTTGCCATTCAGAATCTACACATCCACTCTCTTGGGTTGCGTTCACTACGTAGTGTCAGTGGAGGCTTGGTCTTGTTGTACAACAATTCACAATTGTGCTACACCAATTCAATACCATGGAAGACTATCCTTCATCCCACCCAAGGGCCCCAGCGCATCGTAAGCCAGAACCGAGACCATCAAGTCTGTGGTAGGTTAACAAACACATCATACAAACAGGGAGCAAAAGATAGTCTAAGGTCCATTAAAGTGTTGGACTTTAGTCTTTCACATGTCGATCTCCAACTGACAGTAAGATAAAGACACAAATTCAGTTTCATCTATTTCGCTGAATTCCGGATGTGGTGAAATGTTTTTTTTTAGCAATAATCAAAAAAAAAAAATCTATATAATCATGTATTTGAAAAATATTCAGTGTGTGTCATGCTTTTCTGTTTTTTGTTGTTTTGTTTTCCAGAGAAGGAGGAGCGTGTGTGTCACCCTCTGTGTGAGGGCGGCTGTTGGGGTCCCGGCCCCAGCCAGTGTGTGTCGTGCAAGTCGTTTCACCGTGGGACGGAGTGTGTGGAGCAGTGTGATGTCTATCAGGGGTAAAGGCGCTTGTGTGATAGTGCTAAAGCAGTAAAACCTCAGCTGATGACATTCTGCATAAAAGGATTTTTACAGGCTGGCATGGATCAATTTATTTTTCGCTCAGTTAGTGAGCAAAAGGCCATTATTTGTTGTAAATTCATTTGTGTTCAGTTTGTACCAAAACAAGAGAGTAAAAATAGGTGATTTTCTCGTTTAACTGCCAGCATATTATTTTCCAAACAACCTTTCAATCATTTAAGGATGTCATGGTGACATCATGTCTTCGCAATTTTGTATTTTCTCTTCCTGCATTGTGCGGCTCATCAGGCCATGCAGCACGGGTATTCTTTCTTAATAAGTTTATCTCTGCATTGGTGTCAGGTGCCAAATGAAGGTATCGAAAGGATACCATCTCCTGTCAACATATGACATGTAAAATGGGCTGTGTGTTTGTGTTGCAGGGCTGTGCGAGAACACATAGTTGAATCTGCGTGCATTCCCTGTCATGCAGAGTGCCGACCGGTCAACGGCTCTGCGTCCTGCCATGGCCCGGTATGATGAGCATTTGTGATAGCACTTAAAAAAGAATGAGTTTATCCAAAATTCACCTGTGTTATTTTTGATTATAAAGAAAAAAATGTTTTACTGCCTCTGTGTTTCAAGTATTCACACCTTTTTCTGCAAACAAAAAGACACAAATAATGGCCACAGGTGGTCCTTTTGCTGAAGTTTCCACCAAACTACTGAACACAGCAATCTGTGCGCATCAGTTTCCTTTGGATCGATGTATCGGGCCACCATTCCATTATAAGAAATTTCCACTTGTATTTCCAGAAGCCAGGTCAGTCGAAACTATTTATTTAATATGGAGCTGGTCTGAAATATTTAGACTATCGTCCCCGCTGAGTGGAGGAATTTAGCACTCAGTGCTAAATCAGAGGTTTGGTCTGTCAGATGTGTCGGCAGACGTGTTGGTCTGTGCCCAACTATTTTATTCCAGAATGATTTCAATCTGCCTGTGACTTGTACTGGAAATATTTAGCATTACTAGACAGATTCCAGTTCAGTTAAATAATGTGTTTAGTTAAGCAAAAATCAACAGTTATTTCTGCTGGCGTGTAGCGTGAAATATAAATAATAATGTCCCATAGTTTGCACATGTGAACACCCAATATTCACTCTTGATAAAACATACATTTAATAAGTAAATTCTGTCTTTAATTTGCTAGACATCATCCAAAGAAAGCATATGTTGCACGAAATTCTCTTAAAAGCCTTTCCCATAGTCCCATCTGCCTGAGATGCCTCCGTATTCTTTAAACCTTTTAAAGGGGCTGGGTACTATAAAGGGTTTATGTTATTCTACTGCCATATCGTGTTGTTTTATTCAGACCAACACAGTTCTTTTTATTAAATCTAACACTCAGTTTCTTTTCTCAAAGGCTTCATGTCCACAATTGAATGATTCTTTTCAGCCAAAAATCTGAGTTGCATCTGAGTGCCCTAAATCATTCCACCTGCTCATTTGCTAAAACTTCTGCCTTAAACTGAAATATTGAAGTGTTCTTATTTTTTCTTCCAGGGAGCGGAGCATTGCACGGAGTGCCGGAACTACCAGGACGGAGAGTTTTGCGTGGATCACTGTCCCAGTGGAGTGAAGGAGGATCAGCAAACCGTGTGGAAGTACAGCAATGCCTCCGGCCACTGCCTGCCCTGCAACACTAACTGCACGCTGTTGTGAGTCAGCGCCCACCTCCGACATCACCAGTACCAGCAAACGGTGCAAGTTTGGAGCGTGTCTCACAGCAAATGTGTTTGCATTTCAGCTGCACCGTGATGGACGACAGAGGCTGCCCGGTGGATACCAGGACAGGGTGAGTGACTTCACACGTTTGTTTTTGCAGGCTCGGCTCTGCTTTGGTGGAATTTGGAGGGACTTTTCCCCAACAGGTTGCATTAAACTGTTATACGCTCTTTAGACCCGGAACAACCATCGCGGCTGCAGTGGGTGGAGTGGTGCTCTTCTTCATCCTTCTGGCTCTGCTGGTCTTTTATCTGAGGAGACAGAAAAAGCTGAGGAGGAAGGAGACGGTCAGGAGGTACCTCCAGGAGCAGGAGGTAAGCACCATCCCCTCTGCATCACATTTGGTTGCGTGCTGTTCGGGGGGGGACTATGAGGAAATAATCTGTCATTGGCTTCCTTCATGCGTGCAGCTGGTGGAGCCTTTAACCCCCAGCGGGGCATCTCCCAATCAAGCCCAGATGCGTATCCTGAAAGAGACCGAGTTGAAAAAGCTCCGGGTGCTCGGTGCAGGGGCCTTCGGCACTGTCTTCAAGGTAAGGGCCGTCACAGCACTGTGAGTGGATTTGTTTGTAGACTGTTTCCACCAACGATGAGGATTTTGGTCTTTGTTTTAGGGGATGTGGGCCCCTGAGGGGGAACATGTTAAAATACCAGTGGCTATTAAGGTGTTGCGGGAGAACACTTCGCCAAAGGCCAACAAAGAAATCCTTGACGTGAGTACGAGCCAAATACTTAAAACCTGCACATTATTCACAGTGGATTAAAGTCCGGCCTGAATCCCTTCACATCTGTCCTCTGTCTTCCCACAGGAGGCCTATGTGATGGCGGGGGTCACCAGCCCCTATGTGTGCCGTCTCCTGGGGATTTGCCTGACCTCCACAGTGCAGCTGGTCACTCAGCTGATGCCGTTTGGCTGCCTGCTGGACTACGTCCGGGAGAACAAGGACCGCATCGGCTCACAGTTCCTCCTCAACTGGTGTGTCCAGATTGCCAAGGTACAGAAATGGAACATAATAGTGTTGGATTTGGTTCACATATTAGATACAATTGTGTTTTTTGTCTTCCAGCATTGTTCCAATATTGTTCTTGTTTAGCTTTTCATATTTGATGTGGCACTAGTTTGTATAGCTGTGGACACGTGGATTTGTGGGTGATGGATTTGTGTATGCGTTGGTGCAGGGGATGAGTTATCTGGAAGACATCCGGTTGGTCCACAGAGATCTGGCAGCTCGAAATGTTCTGGTCAAGAACCCCAACCACGTGAAGATCACAGACTTTGGTCTGGCCCGTTTGCTCGACATAGATGAGACAGAGTATCATGCCGATGGAGGGAAGGTAGGATTGCGCTGTGGTTTCAGGAGAACACCCTCTAATTTTTCTGGGGGGTTTTTGTTTTGACAATCTGATCTTTTTGGACGTCCAGGTCCCAATAAAATGGATGGCTTTGGAGTCTATTCTGCACAGAAAGTTCACTCATCAGAGTGATGTCTGGAGCTACGGTCAGTGTCACTCAGCACTTCCTGTGTTAAATATTTTGCCACACACTAACCTGAAGAAGATGTGGTTAGAGTTCGGTTCTGATATTGACCCACAGATCTGAATTGTGGTTCAAATGTAATAACATTCCTTTCAGGGGTGACAGTTTGGGAGCTGATGACATTTGGCTCAAAGCCTTACGACACCATTCCAGCGCGGGAAATCCCAGATGTTCTGGAGGGAGGGGAGCGTCTTCCCCAGCCCCCCATCTGCACCATCGATGTTTACATGATCATGGTCAAATGTCAGTGATCAACTCGTTTTCCCAGTTTGATGAACGGGCAAACTGGGCATGAATTAGCCTTTTAAGCATTTGTTTACTTTGACCCTTTTATCATTTAAAAAAAATGTTATTTGCATGGCAGGTTGGATGATTGATCCAGATAGCAGGCCAAAGTTTAAAGACCTCGTCCAGGAGTTAAGTGCCATGGCCAGAGATCCATCTCGCTATTTGGTCATTAAGGTAGATGTGATGCAGATGTTTTTTCTTTAGTTTGAACCTGTCTGAAAAAGGACCTGGTGTACACTCACTGATCGATATCGATACTGTTTGCCCGTTTGTTTTTGTCTTTACTGTCCTGCAGAACGATGAGCAGATGAGCACGAGCAGCCCCGTGGACAGCCAGTTTTACCGGATGCTCCTTGAAGAGGGGGACAATATGGGGGAAATGATGGATGCTGAGGAGTATCTGGTTCCCCAGCCAAACCTCTTCCCCAGGGCCGCAGCCGATGAGTCACAGGCCAACGGGCCGTCCAGACACCAGTCCTACAAGGTCACTGCATGAGGACACAGCTTTTGTCTTTGCTGTTCCACTCTGCCCCCTCTTAATTTAATTTATTCTGATTTGTAATGCGTGTTGGAAGAGCGGTTGCTTTTCTATGTGAATGCTGAACAGCATCACAGGAGCTTTCAACACGAGAAGAGAAAATATTGAAAACACAACGGAGCATTTTGTTTACAGGTCAAACCACAGAACTGTCTGTAATGGAGAATGTTTTTCCATTGATCTGAATTCTGCTTGTGAATGTATAACTGATGAAAGACAATGGAAAGCAAAGACTAAGGTCTAAAACGTTTTTTTTTCTAAATGCTTTCTCCCCCAACAGAGCAGAGATCATGGCTTAGACATGGAGCCCTCACTTGCTGCTGGCCCTCGGAGCATGTGCTCCTCGCTGAGTACCCTTGGCCGCGGCCAGTACCCCACCCTACCTTTGGGAGCCGGTGTGGCCAACGGCATGTGGCCTCACTACCCGACGCTGGCCCGCAGCCCCTCAGCAGGAGGTCAGTCTGACTCCGTCTTCCTGGATGCACCGGATGGCCACTCCCTGCCCCCGGCCAGTCCTGGGCGCTACAGCAAAGATCCTACCTACCCCAACGGGAGCCAGGATCACCTGGAGGACGACGGGCCCAACGGCTTTCCTCATTACCTTCAGAACTCTCTACCCAGGCGAAGCCATGGACACAATCATAACCATGCTCTGCCAGGTGAGAGGTTGAGTTATCTTTTCTCCCGCTGTTGGTATCCGGAAATATTTATTAACCGAATCCATTAAATACTGTCCATTTTTCAGAGTATGTCAACCAGGACGTGCAAGATCTGCGGCTGGTCATCCCCGAGCGGCCCACTACGCTCCCCCGTAAGGGCTCCAGGATAGACAGACCCCTCCCCAACGGCCTGAGCTCGGGCCACAGTGTGGAAAACCCAGGTTATCTGGTCCCAGTTGGCTCCACTTCGCCTGCCTTTGACAATCCCTACTACTTAGACTTCATTGCTAAAGCCAAAGGCGCCCCTGGGGCCGGGGAGGGGGACCAGACACCGGTTCCGGAGAGCGACAGAAGAGCCAGCAGGCCCGTGAATGGGTTTGTGACTCCCACTGCAGAAAATCCAGAGTATCTCGGACTAGCGGACACCTGGAGTGGACATACCTGAGGAGAGAAACTGAGAGGTGAAAATACGTATCAGTTTATGTTCTGCTGAGGGAAATGTGATAAATATTTGTTTATTATGAATGTTTGTTTGAAACTGAGCCCAGAATCGGGCCCACTGATGTCAAACCAGAGTTGAGACACTGGAAAGCTTTCCATCCAAAACCTCCACTGACCCAACACAGTGTAGCATGGACATGGTGTCGGTGGCCTCGCGTGTATTTCTGTGGCTTCCTCAAAGGTTTTTGACTGTTTAGTGCCAAAAGGAAGTTTCCACGGCTTCTGTAACTAATTCAATAAGCAAGATTTCTGCTTATGAAAAAACAGCACAGGTACAATAGGAGCATAAATACCACTAAAACACTGAATGAATGAATGAATGAATGAATGAATGAATGAATGAATGCTTATCTTTTGTTTTTCCTAACAACCCTCATCTTTTCATATGTGCGGTTTCTGTGGTCGTTCCCACCACATGTGAAGCAGTTTCCCTCAGGTCCTACTTAACAAAAAGCAAAACAAAACAAAACAAAAAAACACAGCTCAACTAAGCGAATTACAATATGTAATGAGGATGATGCTTAGTATTCTGGACACTCTCCCCTATCCCCTGATAGGGGTCTCCAACTCTCTCAAAGCTGTTTTGTTTTGCACAGAGAAGGCCCTGCAACCCATCTGGCCTATAGACATGCTCCCTGGGAGAAAGGCATCCTGTATGGAGAAGACATCCGCATTGTGCCTCTCTGATGTATGTGGTTGTTTTTGGCTGTGCCTGCAGTTAGTTTCTGGTACAAGAAGTCAGTTGTGATCTATTAGTAGACTTTATAGGATGGATAAGCCCCTTCTTTGTTGTTTGGATGTAGTGAATATGGAGGTTAAAATGAACTGTTGACACTAACAGACTAAAATCCTTCAAAAATGCACTACATACTGATACAGAGTATGCCTCCTCGGCTTGCACTATCGCAGTGAGCTGTTTGCGTTTGGTGGCTTTTCATAGAGCAGGAAAACATTTCCAACTTCTTTGACATATATTCCACACAATTTGAAGAATTCCCTTGTATATTTACAAGTGTTGTCTTTTCTGAGGCGAAAATGAGCGGTGAGCTGCCCAGTGCAGCTGGACGCCATTCAGAGGAGACAAAAACACGGATTCGGTCAGTTTGGATAATCAATGCATGGCTGAAATTCCACGGAGTGCGAGTGTACTGGCATCCCAGTTAATAATAAACAGACTTTTTTGAAGGCTTTTCTTCGGCCTTAAGTGGCATCGGGCTGGGGGAGGTGAAAACGCTTCAATGAAGCTATTGTGATTCTCCCATGTCCCCGCTGTCCGCCCTTCCCAACATGCACATGCCCACCAACGTTTGTTTCTGTGGTTTGAGAGGAAAACTGTCGACAGAAGTCCGAGGCTCGGGAGCAGAGTGCGCCTCACAGGCTTGTGATCCTGGAGAGGATCTTCTGAGGACATTTAGCATTTTAAACTGATCGGTCTGAATTGTCCTCTCCAGGTTTGAATGTGGTCATGAGTGGGAAGGCTAAGATGTTATTTTAATGTGTGAAACCGCACGATTAATGTCAGATCCACTTTGACTGTTTTGGATGTTTTTATACGGGTTCAGAAGTTTCAGTTCCAGAGTAAGAACGTATCTGTTTTTAACACCATCTCCCATGCTGCAGAGCTTTCCATTTGCATGTTCAAATTCATAAGAAACTACTCCACACGCCCAAAATTCAACTTTCCCATAATCAGTACTCAAATTTAAGGCGACTGCGTACAGACCTAAATGTTGGGAGATTGCATAAGCTTTTTGAAGTGATGCGGCTACAAATGCGAGCTGCATCATCAAGTTGGAAGGTTGTTCAACAACGTATCAATGTGACTTTTTATTGTGTTTTTTTTTGCCAGTCAGTGTACATAAAGTGTGGTGTTTGGAACAGAACTTAAATATTGTTTCTGTAAGATGAAGACCTCAAAGATGAGCTCCATTAGTTGGAAACCTAATTCAGATTGACCAAAAATGCATCTTTAAGTGTTTTCACATCATTTTTAAAAAAATATATAATTTTTTATAACTCTTAATAAGGATTTCTTAAACGCCTCTCTGCTCCTACCTGAAGCACAGTCTTCTTCATTTTGTCCTAATTTAATATTCTTCTTTTCTTTTTTTAATCTGATGTCAGGGGGCATATTGAGGGCTTTTTTGGGGGGCCATTCCACTAAAAACAAAGAAAAACACTTGAACATAATCTGTGTTGGAGGTACCTTTTAAAAAATGATTTTGTTCCAGATTATGACAATGTCAAGCACAGCTCACAGATTTTGCCTCGTAGTGACAATTTCTGTACAGTGTGAAATCACCCATACACACTTGATATGCAATCAGAAATCACACACTGGTGTTTACACTGTTGTTATGAATTGTGAAAGTTGTATGTCTCTAAGGTGTAACCTGCACAACAATGAGTGACCTGTCACTCCATTTGAAACTGTTTTCTGGTTAGATACTCGTTCACTGGCACTGTTGCTTTTACATAAAGCTAGCTGGTTGTACTAAAAATCCAATTCAGAGGCTTAATGTGGACTGAGTGAATTAATGTTTGATCCAGCTCATCAGATGAAACATAAACAAAGTGAAAACGAGGCCTGTGACTCTTCTGTAAATGTGTTTGAACAAAGCTAAAAGGAAAAAAAAGTGCATGTCACCTGTAACTTAACCAGAGAGGAAGGAAGAAGCAGCTAATAAGTGTGTAACATTAAATATCTGAGTTTTACCTTTTGAAGAAATTGAATCTTTTGTATTTTTCATGTGAATATTTGACCTTTCACAGTTTTTGTGATCGTGAGAGGGTATGACTAACAGTCAATCTTATTGGGAATTTGTACATGTATCATTTCCTGTTCGGTCAGTAAGTCCCATCTGTACATATATGGAGTATATATCTGTATAAATAAAATAAGAAATAAAAAATCTGTGTGGTACTAAGTTTTTTAAATGCACAGTCTGCTACAGAGGGAACGTGACCAAATACATTTAATGCTTAATGAATATATGTTCATTTTTACTTATGAATGCATATGTTGTCTAAAACCCGTTTTATTACATACAGAGTAAAATAAATAACATGCTCTTAGGTTCTTATAGTTTGTCTTAATTTGTACTTTTTTGTTGAATCTAGACATCCACTTGTTCAGTAATCTTGTAACTGTCACTGATCATTTTTAATGGCTACATTTAAACGTGTTGTGAACATGTGATTTTCTCTGTTCATGCAGAAAATCAGACATCAGCAGCTGGTCAGATTTCACAGCAAACTGTTTCTGCCCCCCTGTGATGGTGAATGGAACTGCTGCTCACGGGTTTCAGCTGCAAGTGCAAAAGATCCAGTTATAGATTCAACGTTTTAATAATTTTATTACTCGCAACACACAACTGTGAAAACTTACACATTACCTGTAAGGTTAAGACATTGATTTTAGTTTGAATTTTCATGTAAAATGTTGACAGAAGATTCTTATTTCACAGCTTTCAGTGCAATGCCCACTCAGTGCCTGTTTTTTTTCCCAGAGTCATTTGTAAGCTAATGGACTGGCAGCTCCTGGTTTAGATCGTGGTGGACAGAAATTCGACAGCCATTTCACTCCTGAGGGAATGTGACATCTCGTATGTAAGTACACAGGGAACACAGAAAGAGATGGTGTGAGCACATTATTTGAGTGTCTGTCACACAGCTTTATTTTCTGAAGCATAAATTACGGGATCCTTTGTGGGGTTTATTTTGTAACTTCACATTTCAATGATCGGACTCCACTTATTATAGCTATTTAAAATTTTTATTTATAGCTGCTTTACAGATGTCTAAAAGGCACAACTCATCTCAGCTATACAGATTCTCGAATACAAAACCAGATCTTTGGTTTTTTCGTAACAGAATCGTTTTAAAGTCTGTTCTTTCTGGATAAAAGTTAAACAAATGCTTCCTAAAAGTGCTTTAAAGACACAATTCCCTTCAAACCAGTTAAAATCCATTTAGATCGAAAAGTTAAAACCCTAATTTTTATTCATATATCCCTAATTTTATCTGTTCTCAAAAGATGAGGCTATGAGCTGCAGGCCCTCATCCAAATCTCAGATGAACTGCTCAGTTAACTGCTTTTATCTTCCAGAAATTTTGGTTCTTTAACAAACTCAGCCACCATCTACTGGGTGGATGAGATAAATTTTACCTGACTGACAATATTCATTTGCAAATCTTATGAGATATTTATGAAAGGTCTAGTAATGGCATTCCACTGGCTTCAATGCTTTCCATTTTTTTGAAGAAGTATTAATTCTTAGCCCTCTCCATTAATACACAACTCGAGATAAAATACTATAGCAAAGGTTCTGCGTACAAGCAAAGTTTAGAATTATCATTTATCAAAGCCACCCGCTGGCCAGTTCCCTCATAATTTCCCTGAAGTTATGCCATGTTTCTTTGAAATTCAATCTGGTGATAAACTGTGATCACCATAAGTGACCAACATAAAAGTCAGCCAGGTTTTTATAACTTTAATGGAATTTTCAATTTAGATAAAAAGCTCATCATTCCTACTTTGAATACCAACATGCAAATGAGGGCACGAGTCCTAAAGAGGACATGCAGATTTAAGTTATATTTATTTTCACGTAGCAGTGACCTAATTTTTTTTTAGCTTGGTTTACACGTACTTTACACTTGTTTTCAAAACAAACACATTGATTATGCAATAGAAAGTCAGATAAATATTGAACATGTAAGAATTACACTCACAAACATATCCAATTAAACAGACAAAGTCATCTTTTTGTGATCCAAAAAAGAAATCATTGCTGGGATTTCTGTGGCTTAAATTAGGACCGAAAGCATCCCACTCTGAAACAGCCCAGTTTCCCAGTGTTGTAGAGGTAGAGAATGGGCATAATAGCAGAGCCAAGAGTGGAAGTAATACTAATCGGAAGAGCGAGAGTACACACAAACATGTTGAAACTGCTGCTCAGAGGCCTCCCGATCAAAAAGAGAACAACAGGAGGGAGGTAGGAGAAGACGGTTGTGGCCAGGCTGTAGACCAGAATCTGAATGGCTCTTTGCTTCTGGGGGTGGATGGTATTTCGGCCAGGGTCTGACTTTATGAGCGTATGGACAATAAAACCATCACATACGAAAATGATCACAATAGCAATTATGAAGGTAACAGCAGGAAAAAAGCTGAAGTACATCCTATAGAAAAGAAAGAATACGATGCCATTGGCGACTGTGAGAGCCCAGACAATGCCAGCAAGCACCACTCTTGGAACCAGACTTTTGGTCTTACGGTAAGTGATCGGATGAACCACTGCTAGGTAGCAATCAATACAGTTACACGCCATCATGAGGGGCCTTCCACATGTATTCAAAGCATAAAGACCATTCCATAATGCTTCAAATGCCCAGTTTTTCCATATTAAATTATTTAAAATTCCAGGGGGAAGGAAGGCCAAAAAGATAGTATCCATGATGGAGAGGTTCAGGATGAGAAAATCATTGGGCGTGAGAGAAACTTCTCTTCTGCATGCCTGGAAAATGTCCCACAGGATGGAACTGGAGGCAGGAAAGCCGATAGCAAAGCACAGGAATGTAAAGAAAGCCCAGGTATATCTGCCTCCTTCTTGGTTTTTGCATATATCAAAATCAAATTCTTCCCAGATGAATCCTACCGAAATATTCTTGTCCCGTGCCTTGTGATGGCTGTGCAGTTCAAGAAGCATTGTTCAGTGGGACAGTGGACCAAAGACCTGAGGAACACAGCAGTAAAACAGATGCACTTACAAAAAACAACTTCTCATCGAAGTTTGTGTAAAATGCATAAAAAAGTGAGGGAATCCTATGGCTGTCGCCGAGTAAAAAAACACACACACAAACTGTACCTTAATATGAGGTTTTCTTGGGAAGTTGTACCGTGTTGCTTTGACACAAGTGTCAAATCATCCGTGGGAACGACTGCAAATGCAAACGTTCACCCATCCATCAAAGTCCTGATGGAGGTGGCTTTGCAAATTATGTCGGTCACGGAAAAGACCTACCCCCAAAAAAGCCCAAGGGATCAACAGAGAGATGTCTAAATGTCTAAGCAGGTCTGGAAGTGCAACCAGAGCACAGAGACACATTATTTTCAACAAACAGTGGCGTGGGTTCATTTTGAGGGCTAAATGGCTTATTGGTTTGCCTCTGACACAAAACACTGACACAAAATAGAGCAAATCAGCTAAAAAATGTTGAACAAAGAAAGAAAGAGGTAATCACAAGTCTTTCTAAAGAGAAGATGTTTGTTTTTTTTGGTCAGCAAAAATATTCCTGTAAATCCAGTGTTCTTAGCATCAAGTATAGAAACAACAGGTTCCTGGTAACAAAAAAGCCTCCAGCTCACACTACAGAGGACACACAACTACACAGACCTGCATTTCTTATTTCAGGTTTGTTGCCACTATTAGTCTATCCCCTGGACGGACATCATGTGACAGTTTATCTGTAACACGATGTCACCATGGCCTTCCTTTGCTTGTGTTAGATCAACCTTCATTTTTGGGGAGTTTCTAGTCATTCCATGTTTTTTAGATGAGATAAATCTATTTGTGTCTAACTTTGTGTGTGTCTCTGTTTTAAGTCTGTCTCTAACTTTTGTCTTGCGTGTTTGGTGGAGTCTCAGCATGCCCCAGATGGGACATTTTACGTGGCTTCACAGTTATTTGAAATACAATTTCAGGCCTCTAAATATGACGTTATTGGTAATCCCTCATTTTTTAGCTCTTTTAGCATTAATGACGATACTGAATCTTTACTCAAGATGTTCTTAGTCTCATATCAGTCACCTCTCTTGGGAGTTCTAGTCAGTTCTTGTAGTATTGGATTTAATTTAGAGATCAGAAGCATTTGGGTTTTTGTATTATATCCTCTTGTATTATTTACATGTTTCATGAAACCTTTTGGTTGTTTTGACATTTTTCATTAAACTTTTATCTATATGGATGCCTTGACTGCAGGTTAGGGTTAGGTCTAAAGGTTTACTAAAGTTGGTTAAACACTTATGAGCACAAGGTCATTTTCACAGGTATAGCATGATTGAATAGTCCCAAAATATCTGAAAAATCTAAAGCTATTGGAAGCTATAAACATGTAAAATGTATTTAAATGTCATGCAAATACCAAAACTCGCTGTGTGCTGTGAAGGATCATTCATAAAAGTCAATGTGATGAGTGGAAAAAGAGATGTTGTTTTAGCTGACCACTGGGTGGAAAAAAACACAAATGGGATGTTGCTGTTGCCAAATAATTCAACAAGCTATGCTAGGTTCTCGCTGACGTCATTTTTCAATAAGCATCACATGCATAAGAGAAGAAAAACAATTTTAGTTTATACAACATTTAATGACTATTCTCACACCACAGAAGTCTGGCTCAGTATGTACAAACGTTTAAAGAAATGGTTTTGTTGTTGTTTAGCAATGGAATAACACAAACTGAATGTCTCATGTGGTTGAAAACTTCCATTGCGCAGGGGGAAAAAAACGCTGCTCTGGTTGAGCTCCACAGATTCCCAGCAAATAACTATAAGAAAACAATAAAAGCCCAGCCTGAACCATCACCTAATGACGGCAGTTGAAAGAGCAGGACCTAACAACCTGTGGGTTTGGTAACAATCTGTTAGGCATTCTGGGAACTGTGTCCTGTTTTAGACTCCCTGACGAAGCCAAGTCAAAGTAACAATTAAACCCATTGGGAAATATTTGGAAATGTTATTACAGTTCGTTTCATCAGCTTGGTAAGAGACTTTATGAATAGACATTAGCTTGTAGAACTTAGTAGTGGGTCCCGAAAATAACCGTTGTAGATATACAATAAGGGAGGACACAGAATTAAACTCACATCATTGAATTCGCTAATATTTATACAGCGCTTCTTTGTATCCAACGTCATTTATTCATTTGGGCTTGTTCTTTGAATTAAGTTTACATTTGTTTTCTAGTGAATACTGGGTGTTAATAGACGTACTTGCTGCCTTGCAGTCATCACCATTTGTCACACCTTTGGTTGAATCTTTCTCTGCTCAGATAAGGAAACTGGATACGTGAGCTGGTGCTGTGTCTCTGCAGGTTGAAATGAGCTGGTTTGGAGGACGAGAACTCACAAGTTTGTGTGTCGAAACACTTTCAACTATCTTTACCCCAACACCAAGATCTTGTGGATTCCTGACACAAAAGGAGCCTGATTGTTTGGCCATGAGTGGAGACTACCTTAGAATCTGGAGGGTGAGACAACCACTGTTGTTTAGTCCTCGGAAACAGGACAGAGTCAGTATAACCTAATTACAGCATCACATCTGTACCATAGATGTATTACTGTTTGCTGCGAATATTATTCTTTCAGCTCACCAATGACCAGACGCCTGCACTTTTCACAGCAAATTTTCCAAAATGTAGATCTTGTTTTATTTTTTAGGTCACATCATTAGTCAGGATTGGAGAGACATTGCTATTATTGGTCATACTTACTTATCAAAGTGAAACAGCAGTGTTCCAGTCAGCAAATCAAAACCATAACTCCAGTTTAAAGAAGGATTGAATTACACAGGATGAGGAACAGACCAGGGCCCAAATGTTGATAAGATGGTAGGTAGTAACGAAACAAGTTAAAAGAAGAAAGAATGTTTGAGTCCTGTGCAAATCAATGAGCGATTGTCCATTTTGCTAACATGATAGTTGTTCTGCATCAGTCCTGAATCAGAGATGAACTGTTTTCAAATCTTACTCTTGAGGCATGTCCTTCACTTGTTGTGTGAAAACTGACCCTGTAAACAGATGGAAATCATTCTTGGCTACTACTATCTGATTTGGACAATCGTTCCTGTCCCGATGTGTTCTGATATCTGTTTGTTTGCAGTGTAAATTGATGGACTTTACACAGATCCTTTAAAGAACCTTTACATAGAGTTTGAATTCTTCTGGCCATCAGGTGACGGGCAGGACCGGGTCTGAGAAATGTTTCTGGATCTCTGCGCACTCTGAGATGGCGTCCAGGTTGACTGGCAGTGACGGGCAGCGCAGGTTCTCACACAGGCAGGCGTCGGCCGAGAGGGAAGGTTTGACCGACGGCTGGGGTAACTGCACGGTCAGCCCTCTGTGAGTGTCAGCGTCAGGGGTGAGGGTCATGAATGTTGTGTCGTCAGACGCTGCAGCCATATGGATGCCGCTAGATAGAGACTCCTGGGACTTTTTGGACGATTTGAGGTCATCAAGATCAACAGCAAGGTTCTTATGTTAAAAAAAGCAAAAAACAGCAAACACACAAAAAGTTTAGACTGATTTAAGATGTTAATTTAAAGCTTTTCCACAGTTCCTCGGTGTGATTCCATACCTGCGCGGGTGCCTGGTCGTCCATCTGTACGGGCGACATTGGAAACTCGCTGTGCAGCCCGGGAGTCCCACTCCCATATAAGCCAGATGAATCTGTGGGAACGGTAGTGGATGACACTGTGCTGTAAGCTGGAGGCACAGGAGCAATCTGCCTCTGGAGAAGCTGCAGAATGACGTTTATGTCTGCTGTCATGCGTGACTCCAGTCTGAAAGGGTTACAAACATAGAGAGAAGCATCAGAGGGGCTTCTGTCTGAGTCCCCCGCCCTCTATTTACATCTGATCATCACATGGAAAGGGATTTTTCTGATACGCATCCTACTTATTTGAAATGTCAGCTTTGTACTTAAAAGAGTCTGGGATTTAAAAGCACACAGTTCACCTATTGAGTTGAGATTGCAAAACTTCAAGCCGTGACTCCAGCTCACTGGGCCCTTCCTCTGTGAATGGAGGTGGGTGATTTGAGTTGTGCACAGAGGAAGATCGCCAGGCCTGACTGGGAAACTCCTGTGACTGTCCGCCCGGCCAGTACTGATACATCCCCGCCACATTCAAAGAGGAGGCTGAGAAATCAAACACAAAGTAACAAAGAACCTTTAAAAAATGCATAGGGAATTACATTTTCCAGACAACTGCACTGAACAACCGGAAACACTTTGTGGTCCAGTCTTTTCTTTTCTCCTTTGCTTAGTGACATCCTCGTAAAATACATTTGCATGATGTGACTGATTTGAACTCTCCAAATAAAGATGGGTCGACTGGGAGCATTTTAAGATGAAACATCTATTATAGCCCTTTTCAGGACAATGTTCCTCCTCATCCTCATCTACCTTGGTGGCCCAAGTCCAACACTGCGTCCCTCCCCACCGAGGTTCCGCTCTGGGGCAGCTGTTGCACAGCAGAAGGCGAGTAGTCCCTCCCGGTGTCCTCTGGACGGTTAAGCTCTGCTCTGGCATTGTGAGGCTTTGGCAACTGCTCGCTAGACTGAGAAGACGAGGACCCACTGCTCCAGAGGTCCTCCCAGCCTGCCTGGGGTGGTGAGTGATGGCAGGATCGAAGCGGGTATGAGTCCTCATGATCAATCCCATCTGTTTGAAGGAAAACACACCTGTCATTAAATACAGTGCATTTTTGCCTCGTGATCGCTCTGAAGCTGTGGATTTGGCTCTGACAAAACACTAAACCGAAACACAAAAAGATTATCACAAGAGAAAAGATTAGCCGGACAGGGATGAAGTAACTGATTGGAATTTAGTAGCAGGTATCTCACCAGGCCTTATTCTACAATCAAGGGAATGGTTTCTGTGTCTTGGTTTGTGGCGACATTCGCAGTCATCACCTGATTCATCGGTCGTTATCGTTGGGACTTGATCAGCCTGCAGAGCACAGAAAAAAGTCAGGCATTGCACAAAGAAATTCGGCTGTGGACTTCGACACGACTATTTTTTAACCAACTGTCGACGCACGTCTCTCAGGTCAAAAGTGATCTCCAGATTCCTCCAGAAGTTGTCAGCAAAGCTGGGGTAAATATCCAGGACCTCCAGCAGGTCTTCACGGGGGATGCGGTGGAGGTCGCAGTAGGTGATGGTGTGCACCTCCGCGTTGGACCTCCCCGGTTCGTCATACAGGTAGATCAGCTCGCCAAAGATGTCGTTCTTTTCTGAAAGAGGATGCGTGTGTTTTATTACAATGAATGACATTGATTTTGAATTTCTGCGACACAATGCAGTCGGCTTGAACGGCTTTACCCAGCACGGCCACCACCACGTCATCCCTCATGACCTGGATGGAACCTCGTGAGATGAAAAAGAGGGAGTCCAACATGTCTCCGTAGTGGATCAGCGTGTCAGCTGGGGGAGCGTGGACCGTCCTGATCCTCACGGCTAAGGCCCGCAGACAGGCCTGGCTGCCTCCGCTGAAAGCTTTGCAGTTCTCTAGCAAGGAGCGATTGAGGTGCAAACAGATGTCTGCCTGCAAAGACCCCGGGAATCCCTTCAGCACCTGAGTATGAAGATACAAAAGCTTGAACAAGTCAGCGATTGCATTCAAACCAAAGACCGAAAAAACGAAGGTAAAGAACGTCTTGTTTTTACTCACAGCATTCATGTCGATGCCATTGGTGTAAGACCAGGCATGCTGGAAGTACTCCTCCAGCCTTTGGCGCAGACACCCGGGAATTTGGTGGAAGCGGATAAACTCTTTGACCCGGAGCATCTGGGTGTGGTAGCGGGTGGTACCAGAGTACAGCCGCTGGATGATCGCAGACACGTTCCCAAATATGCTTGCATACATGAGAGCTGAGCGAGGGAGGAAAAGAGACCAAAGACAGATATGATTCTGATGTTCAGACTGTAACATGAGCCAAAAAAATAGTTCTATAAAAAATGTTATATGGAGGTTTTTTTTTCAAGTAAGTGGTCTATTTTTCATTCACAAATTAAGTTAGGCTGAGGAAGCTTTTCTGAAAAGCTGCAAAATGAAAATCAGATTAACATGTAAAGCAAGCTGCTCCGTGTCACCAGAAGGTGGGGGTAGAGGCTAAAATGCTCATGGTGATTCAGTAGAGGGACTAGTTGCAACTGAAAATCAACAACCAGGTGGAAAAACACAGCAACTACAATGAACATCCCAAAAAGTGAAATGGATGAGAACGTGTGAAGAAAAACATTTGATATGTGGAAATATTTAGAATCTTATTTCTGGAAACAGTGAGTTAACTAAAACACTAAAAGGTGCCAAAATAAAAATGTAAATGAGTACAAAAAAGTTTTGTGCACTGGTAGGTTTTTTTTCATCCACTTTGAATTCACTTTGTCTCATCCTCTAGATGCAATTCCAAACTAAAAACGTAAACTGAGCTGATGTCCTATCTGTAGATTATAGAACCCTGAGGAAAAAAAAAAATACATTATGATAAGTTATTGTTGTTATCCATCTAAAATTGCTCAAAAGTTACATTTTATTGTGCTTTAAGCAAGATTGAGATGATCTATTCTTTATCTATTTTTACAAAAGTTAAAGTCACTCTGAAGTCAAAGTAATTTTTTGTTTTCATCGTCTTACAGAAAAACGATCAAAGGTCAGGTTGTACCTTCCTTGGTTTGGTGAGAGTCTGATAATTAATGTCATCATGCTTCCCTGATAATTATTTTACAGCCACAAATGGTGTTATACAACTCACATCCAATGACCATGACGCAGATGGAAAAGATTTTCTCCGAGTTGGTGTTTGGAGAGACGTTACCGAACCCCACACTGGTCAAACTGCTCAAGGTGAAGTACAGAGCCGTGACGTATTTGTCTTTGACTGATGGACCAGAGGACGAGTCGCTGTCGTTGTATGACTTCCCCAGCTGTTCAGCCAGGTTGTCCAGCCAGCCCGTCTCCGTGTACGGCCTCTCCACAAAGCCAATGGCGTACCAAATGCAGGCCAGCCAATGGGCAATGAGTACAAAGGTGCACATGAGCAAAAAGAGGACAGCAGCTCCATATTCAGAGTATCGGTCCAGTTTTCTCGCCACGCGGACCAATCTCAACAGCCGAGCTGTTTTCAGAAGGCTTGTTAGGGTGGCCATCTTTGGTTTCCATAAACAACAGGGAACAAGAGGTTAGTTAGGTTTCAGCATTTAGTATTCAGTCATGTTTGAAAGATGTCTAAGGAATCAATTCAGATCTCACAAACAATTGGCAGACAAATGTGACCTTAGTTATTCTAAGAAAAATCAAACACAACCTAATTTCTTTTACCTCATCAGAACCAGATCTGAAAATTAGAAGGTCAAATGGGATCGCTGCAAGCAGATCGATGGGGAACCAGCCTTTGATGTAATGCTTGGCGATCCGGCTGGGCTGCGTGATCACCTCGTCGTTATGGTCCACGTATGTCGTGCGAAGGTTGATGACAATGTCCACAATAAACAGGACGTCCACCATGAGGTCCGCCACATTCAGAGGGTTGCACGTGTAGCCACAGATCCTCTGACGTATATCCACATGCTCATCCAAGAGGAAGGCAGCTGAGTAAGGAGTAAATACGGCCGTGTAGAGGACCAGGATGAGGATAATCCAGTCCCAGAAAGCCTTGAAAGGACTGTAGTGCAGCAGGATCCACCATGTTGTCTCAGGCAACTGGAGTTTATATTCAGGTAATACGTCCGACTCCAAAGAGAGCACCTAGAAAATGCAGGTGAGGAAAAATTGATCAATTATCAGTTATCCAATATGAAATCTAAATTTTGAATGAGCTTTTTATTGCTGAGCTTTTTATTGTATGTCCTCTCAGTCATTAAATGTTTACAAATGTGTACTTAATTTTTTTTTTCTAACTAATGCTGCCCAACAGACCTTTCACGCTCTTGGTGCAGGCTGTATGCTCTGGTTTTGCAACCCTGTAGGTCAAACATATGTTTGACCATCCCGTCACTGCTGAATCTCAGCAGACAGAAGACTCCAGGAAGTATGATATCCCAAAAGGTACCAAAACAAAGGGGAAACTTTTTCTACAGCATCCTGGAATCGCCACTGTGAGGGCCAACTGAACGGACTAAGTATTGGTGGGCTATAACGATAAACCAACACGTTGATGTCACAGTTGCCTTGACCCAAATTCATAATGATAATAGCTGACCTGAAAAATGTCTCTGACCTTACTTATAGATCTCACACATGTATAGATTTGTAAGATTGGTCAGATAGATAAATCACCAGATGGAATGGAGTTGTAAGGTCGGTTACAAGCTCTTGGTTTGTATTTGTGTCCCGTCTGCCATGCCATGCCATGGATGTGGTTCTGAAACCAAATGTCACATCCTGGTCTGTTCTTCTCTCCCATGAGGATAACATCCAGCCACCAAACCACACACTGATTTTTCCATTAGGGGGTTAATTAACAGCAGTCTGCTGCCATGGCAACAGTCTGTTGTCTGCTTGTCATCCTTTCTTAGCAATGGGAACACCCTTACTGCACGCACTAATGACTGGATGAACCTAGGCAGCGGTAAAAGCAATAATAGGTCACCGAGAGCCACTGGAAATCTGGTGATGAATGAGCAAGTTTGTTAAATCACAGAGGTTTTTTCTTTGTGGCTGACACTCAGAAACTGAGCCCGGGATTCTCTGCCCCTGTACCTGGGTGACCTTTTCCGTGACGTTATGAGGGCGGTCCATCCCCTTGGAGGGGCTGCGAAGCTCCATTCTGGGAGTTTGAAGCGAATGACATTCAGGGCTCCTGATGGCTGCTTCCCCACTCTTCTTAAGGTCTGCGTCAGACATGGAGCTCTGTTGGACTTAAGATGATCAGGAAAACACAGTTTTGTTCAAATTAAGGCAACAGAGATCCCACTTTAGTTAGGTTTTTTTCTCTTTTTGATTTTGTACTTTCCAGACAATTGATGTCTTATTTAGTTACATTTATTTTGAAAAAAAACATCTCCTAATTATTTCTCAACTTACATAACAGATTTTTAAATGTCTATCTTTTCAGAAAAACAAAGCCGTCAAGTAAAAGAGAGAGTCAATATTTGACACAGAGTGCGCTACAACATTGGAACAACAGTAGTTAGTCTGTGAAAAAGAAACTTACAAACTGATCAAATCTTAAGGACTAGCTGGAAATAAGTAAAAACAACCTACCTGATTGACAACCAAAAACCCAAATCGTTGTTTTTCTTGGTCTCTAAGCCATTTCTCAAATATCCTTCCTTTTGAAAGCTTTTTGGGCAAGTGTTTGATCAAAAAGTATTCACTCGTCTTGTCGAGGGTCCATATTTAGACGCAAATGCTCTTCTTTTTTAGCTGTATGTGGCTGTAGATGTCAATGTTGAATCCTCCTCACTGGCAAAGTGCAGAGGACTGCCCTGCAGCACGCCAACATTGGAGCCCAATCAATGCCACGCTATAGCGGAGAGGAAGCAACAGGAAAATCAATGCTGGGCATTGATGACAAAGCACACTGGTTCAGAGCCACTACACTGGGCTTCCCTGTTGGCATCAAATCATCTTTTCAATTCTCTTGAAGCCACTGTGGTTTGATAGATTATATTTAATCACCCGTTACATGTAAAAAGACCTAAAAATAAACTCAGCTGAGTGAGGCTTCGGTCCCCAACTCAATATGTTTCCTACACGCTGTTTATGTAGAATATTATCGACTGCATTGTTGGCTCTATAGCAATATGAGGGGGTAATGACCCATGATGACATCATTTCAGAGTGCCCTTCAACTGTAACCTTCATTGTCCATGTTTTTTTTATTAGATTAAATCTTTACAGCTCTCAATCTTTTAGTGAGGAGGAATAACATTTTACAGATTGAAGAGGGTATTGCAAAAGCTGATTGTGCAGAAGTAATACATTTAAATGCATTTTATTTCTTTATGTAATTGAACTAAAATGAAAAAATGCTGGATTGTTTTGTGAACATTTGCTCTGATCTTGCTTGACATGCAGATTTAGTTTCCCTTTGGTTCAGTTTGAAGAAGCGAGCACCTAAAAACTGAAAGAAAAAAAATCATCATGGAAAATCCTGCTGGACAATAGTCGCAGCGAGTGCCAAGAAGGCCTCGGGGTGAATGCTCGGGGTTGGATATGGAAAAAAAAACGACCCTAGCTTTATGGAATAAAAGGCAGAACAGAACGTGAACAGCAATTTTATTATTATTCCACTTTTTCCAACATATAAATCATAAAATATAGCATGAGCATTCAATAATGTTCATGGTCTTTTTTCCAGTATTGCAAGTAGTGTCCGATGAGTGTCCAGAAGACTGCATTCAGCTGTCAGCCTGGATGTTGTCCCACACTCGCACCACATCTGGATAGTCAGTAAGGACTTCTATAAGACTCGAAGCAGCTTCCATCTGCTCCTGGTCCAGAGACGAATGGTTGCGGGGGACAAACTCCAGCCCAGCAGATGTAATCTGGTTTCCCAGTCCCACCAGGGAGGTCCTCACCTTATTCAGGTCGGTTATGTCACATATAAACTGAGGAGAGAAAAACCCATGACTCCATGTGTGAAGCACTAATGCGGTGTGAAGAATAATTTAGCTGCTGTCAGTCCGACAGATTTCATAGATATCTATCGGACAACTTTGTTGGGCTTTCCTAGTAACTGAGTGGCAGAGGACGGTGAAAAACAAAACTAGCATCCTAACCTTCAGGAGGGGCTTCTCCTCCTCATCCTCAGTTTCCTGGACGTCTTCTGCTCCAGCCTCGATGGCCAGCTCCAGAGCCCTCTCTGCCGTGATGTCCTGGCTCGGCACCACCACCACGCCCCTGCGGTTGAAGTTGTGACGAGCTCCATCAGACAGCATCCCTCTGAAAAAACAGGTGAAAAATTATATTTAAAAAAGAAAATATATATATTTTTTTTATTTGGGATCCACCATTTAATATTTCCTCTGATTGGTAAATGCACCAAAAGCTCAAATGAGGATGTGTAAATAACACAATCCATCTCTCTACTGTATCTTTCATGAACAGGGCCATCTGGTGGTAACTGGTATTTGTACACTCTGCTGCGTCTCTTCATCAGGCTGTCCTGTATAAGTGGTCTATGGTCCTGATGCTCTGAAACTTGAAATAAAAATCACTTTAATCCATTTGACCCATCCCAGCACCTTTCTGCATAGTGCGGAGGCACTGATGATATTCATTAGAATTTCAGCCAAATAAAATGGTGGCTGAAATGGTTAAATTTACTGTCAGGCACCAAAAATCTGCAAAGGAAAATTAAGAGAATCGGCTTGAAAACCTCTGTTAATAGCTACACAGCAAGCCAGCAGAAAAGTGAGTGTCCTGACCCGTTCTTGGTGAGCAGGCGTCTGATTTCCTGATGCGCACGGGAGTTGTTGTCCGTCAGCACCTCGATGAGCAGGAGGCATCCACCTGGACCCCGAGCTTCAAACATGTGCTGGGACGCTGGTTTAGCCTTTTCCTGCACACGGTTTAAATTTAATTATGCAACTTTTAAACAGTAACAGCTTAAATTGCACCTTTTTCTTTAAATCTAGACAATATTTGTTAGAACGGCAGATTCCAGGAGTGTAAGAGTGACCTGTCAACCTACCGCACTCTTAATGGCTGCATCTATGGATGCTTTGGGCATGTTCTTAGTCCTGCACTGCTCCAGTATGTTGGCCAGGTTTACGTTGAGGTCTGGGTTTGATCCCCCCTCTGCAGGTCACAATCACACATGGGCTCAGTTTGAACACATCTTCAAACTTCCATCTCAAAGCACTGGAAACTCACCCTTCACAGCTATTCTAATCAGCATGCCATACTTCATGAACATCCTTCCTCTTGCCTCATCTTTAGGTCCCTTGATGTGCTTCACCTTGGACCACTTGTTGTGTCCGGCGCGTGCGGGGCAGCCCACCCGCAGCGTCCTCACGCGCTCCGTCCGCCACACGGGGAGCAGCGCCGGCGCGAGGAGCCGAGCCGTGACCGCGCGCAGGGTGGGTAAAGTTCTGACCAGCGCCAGCCCTGCCATGCCCTTCACTCACACACACTCTCACACACACACACACACACACACACACGAGAGCAGCTAACGAGCGGTGACACGGCGGCGCATGTGGAGCCCAGAGGAGGCTGGACAGCCCCTGGACAGTCACTCGAAAGTCACTGGACTGCCGCTGACCAGAGCCCTAACCACACCTAACGCAGGTTCTCACAGAAACCGGTTTAGAGACGGAACTGGGTCTTGACATGCAGGGAGAGCACCCATCTGCTGCTGCCCTTGTTGTGAAACCGGTACTTCCGGGGTATGGTGACGTCACATTTGGGCCTATCAAAATGAAAGCCGCATAACGTCAGACTCTAAAAAGTGGTTAACACGGTAAATTATTAATATTAAAACTGCCGTGAAAGCTAAAAGTGCTGACTCTCATTCTTCATACAAAAAGATTAAATGCAAACACTATTAAAAGATCTAAAGACATGAATATACAAAAACTTGTTTTAGAATAATTCAAAACAAGTTTAACAAAAAAAAAAGACCCTGAAGCAGTTAAAAGTAAATAACTTACAAATAACAGCTGATAAGATGTAAAAAGACCTTCTGTGAATTAAGATAAAGGCTTTTTATTTTTTAAGGAACCCTGTCAGTTTAATTAGGCTGATTATTTCATAAGTACATTAACAGATTTGCAAGGTTTTTGCTTAGTTTGGACGCAGTTGATTGATTTCAGGGGCAGACTGTAAAGTATAACCTTAGAAATGAATGATTACTCCTAATTATGTCGGTGCATTAGAAACCTTTGGAAATCTAAGGACCATGTTTTATGTCCAGAAATGAGTCTATGACATTGCCCTTACAGTTTTAGCTAAGTAGTCAGACGCTACATTTTATGAATGAACAAAAGGAACTGTCAATGAATAAACAGATCTGCATTGAAAATGAAAGTTAAACCAACCAGAAATGTGTGAAATTGTTGTAATTCCTAGTGTTGGGCTGTTAACACCCAAGAGATTATTAGATTGGCCAAAATCGCATATACAGAGACCACATATTCTATTTTTTTCTTCTCTGGGATGTTCTAGTGTGGGAACTAGAGGAGTAATACTGGTTTTCTGCCAAGGAAGAAATCTTAAATCATACTGCTTCTATTTATAAAAATTGGACATAATAGGACCCTGACCTTGTCTGTGGTCATAGCACACTGATCCAAAAAACAAAAAGCAACTGTTTGTACTGATTCTAAACTATGTGTGTTTGCAGGCTGATTAAGGGGAATAGTTTTTGTTAAACTGGAAGCAGTAAGGTTTAGCAGTAGCTGTGATTTTTCTGTGACGCTTCATTAATTAACCTGACACTGATGACAAACCCTTTAGCGAGCTACTGTTTTAAGTTTCGGACATTTTTTTTATTATTTTTTTAAATATTTTTTGTTACAGCTTAATTGTCTCTCCTTTGTATTCAAATGTCAACAGTAACACTCATCTTCTAAGTCGCAAATCAGAATGTAACTGCCTGAATATCCTATTAGCCTTTTTCTTTCTTCTTTACAGATAACCCAGAGAAAAAATGTACTTGGACTCACTTGATTTTTAAACCTGTGGTTTTAAGTAAATTAGTCATATAAACATGCACTGGTATTGAGGGCAACAACTTTGTTCTTCCTTTGCCAATATGTTTGTGTGACGTATTTAATTCAAGTATGGTTTAAACTTTGTATTGGAAGAGCCTCTGGTCAAGCAATCCAGTGAAATTGATCCAAAGTGAGTGTCCATTAAGGGACATGAAAAGCGAGGATGCGTTATTTTCATTACCTTGCTTGGAGGCTTGGAAATGTTGAGGTAAAGCAGACAAGACGCAATAGATCAAAACGGAAAAACAAACAGGATGGCAAACAAAGACTTGTGACCACAGTGGTGGAACACAAAGAGTTAAAGACATGGCAGGCACAGCCAATCAAGGCCAACCCGTCTCAACCCGACAGTCCAAAGAGCTGTAAAAAGAGGAGGTTTCATCCTCACTGCTCTTCTGTCCTCTCTGCACTCTGACAGCTGCATGGAGGCTCAGACCTGATCAGGAATGTCAGCCAAGCTTCAAGGAAACAACTGAGAAACTCTGATGAAGTTTTTCTGGTTGTTAAGACACCCCGCAGCCCCGCCGCTGCTTCAACTGACTGATGAAATGAGATGTTAAAGAAAGTTGAATAGGAATTAATCCACTGATGGGACACAAGAGAAGAACAAACCTCAACAAGTTATTACGTCTTCACCACGTGAGGAGGACCAAATGATCTAAGCGTGGGTGGAAGGTTGTGTGTTGACAAAAGACTAAAGTGGAAGTGGTCATGCTGTCATCACAGGGAACTGGTGCACTGAGTCTTTTTCACTGTTTGATAGCGGTTACTGCACTGGTGAGTAAACTATATTGCACTTCTAAGTCCCTTTAACGCTGCTGTTCTCTTAAAGAAAAAATATGGTTATTTCTGCTTTTTTTATCTCTTTAAAATGACATAATCGGCTATATTTTACTATTAAGTACATAAAATGTTGAAAGTATTTCCTTTTTAGAGCAAAATAAATATTTTATGAAAATATAATCCTCCTACATCCTCTGCCCATTGGTTGGGAAGCAGAGCCAGTACTTCTCAAAAGGATGGTTTTTAAGCTCTAAATTTAAACTTTTCACACCGCAGCATCACATCTTACACTTTATTATTACACTGACTCAGAAACAGCTTGACTGCTGCACTTTGTGCCACAGCTAGAAAATTTCAAGCATCTGTGATCTGCTTTGATGCTTTCAAATTTTGACCAAGATTTATCTCCTTCAGGAAATGTGCCAGCCATTCACGGCAAGATGGAGCAGTGTCATTTTCCTCTGCTATTTCTGACAAATGATATAACAGGACTTTCAGGCATTTATACTGAAACTTTTTATTCTTATTTTAAACTGAAAAATGAAAAATGATAACCCCTTTCCTTTGGCTCTCATATATTTAGAAACATCTCTTATGTGTCACTTTTTGAGCCAGTTTCATAGTAACAAAGGGTAGATTGAGTCATTTACTCTCTTATCTATTACCCGAATCACCTGTGTGAAGAGGGATCACCTTAAGCAGCCAAGACAGCAATAAACGGCTTTTATTAACTTTGTTGGAGTTGTCAACAACTCTTTTCTTCATTGAAAATAGCCGTCAGAGTTCAGAGGAACTGCTCTGTTCAGGTCTCACCTCAGTGTTTCACTGCAGTTAAGTATCAAATGGGCCAAATGGACACACGTCCTCTCCCCAAAAAAACAAAAAAACAACAACATATCATACAAAGATAGGCACAATAGGACCTGCTTGAGTAAACAGGCAACAAGATCACACAGGGATACCATGGAAACAAACAGGTAGCAGGGTGACGATCGGCCATGAGCGAATGAAAGTCAGACCAGGATGAAATCATTGATTTTCTGTAAAACTACTAAGAGACAGGAAATCACCACAGTGAGGGGGAAAGACATGCAACATTTTCTAAATGAGACATAAGACTATCTTACACAGACACATCAGAAGACCAAACTTCGGCCCACGTTTTAGAGAAGGAAAGCAACCAAAATGAGACTCTCTCGTCTATAATAAGCAGTAAATTAACTTTAAAAGAAAATAAGATGACTAGAATTAGACTAACTGTGGCACAGTTAAAACTCTAAAACATTTACAGAAATGATGAAAACAGAGCAAAATGCCACTACAAAGTGATATAAAAGTTGGCTCAGTATTCATCTGCATGATTTCTAGTATTTCATCTTTTGTCTTGGTCTAAGCATTTTCAAGCTGTGGTTGGAAAATTGGGGGGGAATTGCACACATCCGTGCCTGGAGCCCGTTGTTTTACAATCTGTCCATGGGTTCAGGTCCACACTTTTCCTTTGCAGAAGTTAATGCATTTCTAAGTTTGGGTGTCCGGGGTGGAAGCGCTACTGTCTGTTTCAATAGAAGAATCTCAGATTTTCACAACAAAGGTATCCAGTGAGGGGTTTTTTATGTGTGTGTTTGCATTTTTTTGGTTTTGGTCAATCTCACCATTTGGATTATGCCTCACTTAAAATGAGCCCATAAGGTTCAGCTCTCAAGTCATCAATCTCAGACTTTCTCCTGAAAGATTTCAGTGTCTTCAAGCTGTGCAGGGGCAGCAGTGATTGAGATATGCTGTGTTGCTCAGATAGGGCAGTTAAGAACAATGATCTTTTGATGAGGTGAGAAAAGCCCCAGCTTCTTTGATGTTTTCTTCGTATCTCTTGGGATTTCGTGGATAAGACCGTTGCCATGTTCATGGAGGAATGTTTGAAGGAAATGCATTTTCTTCGCTTTTTAGTTGGGAGTGCCCCAGTGTTCTAGATTCCCACAACATCAGTCATGTAGCGATTTAGCCAGAATGATGTGTTTCAATAGCCCTCTTGCTCATTTCTATTTACTAGATTATTTATTGCACACGCTGCTACTCTTGACATTATGTAGTCAAACTTTTCAGAATCTGAAAAAGCCCTACTTGGGAAGACCACTTGATTCAACTGGGCTGAGTGCTGAAAACCAGTGAACTCATTATTTGGCGAATGCATTCATAGAGGTTTTGTAAGTTGAGTTTAATACTCTGAAAACCAAATACTGAACTGATTTAAGGATCAGCTGCTGCTGAAGCCCCAAACAGCAGTCCTTATCTCCTCCATCAGAAATGATCTGCGGTCTGCTTTACCTCACAGCTCTCTGTCAGCAGCTGCAATCTTTTCAGCCTTTCATTTCACTGAGGCATGGGCCTCCAGCAGCTAGCACTGACCATTATCACCTCTGGGCCACATCTCCTCATCTCTTAATCTTCTGTGGGTCGATCCTGAGTCTTGATCTCTGACAGACTTACAATACCTTGATCAGTCAGTCTGAAAATCACTTTGCTCGAAGATGAGGCCCGAGAGATCAGATGCCCTCACAGCACAAAGGCCAGGAGATGTCAAGACTAATTGTTTTACCGAAATGCAGTAAATATCACCATAAAACACCGGCTATGTTTTGCTCAATAGGTTTGCTCCCCAGAGCAAAACACATACACACACTGTAAATATTGTCAGCAAAACCTCAGTGTGAGCGCTATTTTACAATAGAAAGTGTTTTCAACCGCTCAGCTGCTTATTGACTTGTTCTGACAGTGCCTCCTAAAACAAATCTGTGTTGGAAATGATCTCTTCTCTGCATTCTGAGTGTTTATTGGAACCTCCGCTCTCCTATTGGCAGTTTACTTTTGATGGTCTGTGCCAAGAGTGTAACTTATCACACATCCAATTGCATGAATTTGTCCAGATGGGGTTTAATCTGTTTTACAAGAATTCTGTTTGGCTTGTGCGGACGGCAGCTGTGAGCGGCAGATCCAACATTTGAGCCCAAGCCTGGTTAAAATAAAATACATGCATCTACATTTCTTTTTTTTTTCAAGTCTAGCAAAATCACCCTTACCTTCTGTAGAGTTATGAGATGTACCCAGGAACACACAGCAGCTTGTGTAAGGTCCACATGTGGCCCACTAGGCAAGTTTCCCCACTGGGCAAAAAGGGGTTAGCGGAGGATCACCACATACCTCACCCTCACATAACTATTTCACAACACCTGAAGGCAACATACGAGATCCTCGGAGCGTTTGCAGTTGACAGATCATCCTGCTTTGAGACACTCCTCACAGACCTTCAGTAGGAGGCTTTCTGTAGTTGGACGGTTTACAGCATTTCCAAATCAGAGTTATTTAGCTGCTAGCATGCCAGTCACAGATAACTGCACGGTACACTTGTCTAAATCATTCTTTAACCTTTCTGTGTTTTACAGATTGACTCTGACGATGTCATCACACGTGATGAGCAGATCTATGTTCTGATCGGTGCACATGCACGGTGTGAAAGGAACATCCAGACACAAATAGCCCTTATCAAAGGTTTGTGTGCTGCTTTTGATCATTTCAGAATCTCACTGACCATTATTGGGAGCATCCAGAGACCAATGATCGTGTGTCCAAATATATAACAGTAAAAATCATATGCATCATCTCAGTTATTCATTTGAGATCAGACATAACACATATCCAATATCCTGTTCGCATTTCAGTTCACAAAGGCCGCACATTTGTAATTTGGGCTGTGACGTGTATGCTGTGTTAGATAAATTGATTAATTGGTGCGTTAGGACAAAGGTCTCAGGAGATGAAGCTGCCGGCAGATGACCGTGAGAGGGCGAGAATGATGAGTTCTCCAAAATGTCACAGCACAATTGTACTCGTCTCATATCAAGCCTTCTAAGGAAAAGTGTAACACTTTAAGAAATAATCTTGCTTTTTCATTCTACCACTAAATTCTGTTGCTCTACTAATGTTACCTCGAAAAAGATGGAAAAAGATGCAATCTGTTTGGGTTTTTATTTGAATCTGTGTCACACATTTTCCAACTTTAAATTACCAGCAGGGGATTTAAGTTTTATCCACAACATGGAGTATGATTAGCCTGTTATTGTATATGTGTTTTCATTTATTTTTTGGGTTTGTTTATGAATTTTGGAGCGGAAGCATAGAAGCCAAACAGGAAACAGGAAGGTTACTGTAAGGGCAATAGGAGGGAGAAGGGGCATGAGTAAATAGATTTTACTTCTTTATACCATAACATATGATATACGAAGGTATATGTAGTTAGGTTTAATCAATTGGACAATTTGTTCATTGTTTCTATTAATGCATACATGGATATGTAATGCAAATACGGATGAATATGTATGTTGTTTGGGATAGTTTTTTTGCAAATACAGTTCACTGATCACATTTGTGGTAATTGTCTGAAAGATATGAATTAATTCACTCCTCTGTTTCTTTTACGATTGTTTTTGAAGAAGGTGACTGTGCCCCGGAGTGGGATGGGATCATTTGTTGGCCCCGGAGCAGACCAGCTCAGCTGGTCTCAGTTCCATGTCCAGAGTACATCTATGACTTCAACCACAGAGGTATTGAAACTGTATGGTCACTGAAATATGGAAATGATGTAGAAGCTTTATTTAAAGAGGATAAAACAAAACATTGCATAATCACTGATTCTTTTCTCCTGTGGGACAGTTTGTTTAATCCATGCTATATTGCCTGTTTCTAATTCTTACACTCTCACGACAGGACGAGCCTACCGCCAGTGTGATGTCTCAGGGAACTGGGAGCTGGTGCCCAGCAACAACCGCACATGGGCTAATTACACAGAATGCACCAGATACCTCACCTCCAACCACAGAAGCATTGAGGATGTATGCACTAGACCATCTGCCAGTCAGAGAACAGTTTGCCTGGTGGTTGATGAAATGTGTGTGTTGTGGGCAATAAAGAGAAAAAGAGTGTCAGGTTGCAGCTTGAAGATGGAGGATCCTCTTAGGATGGGCTGGAAATACTGGTTAAGATCATGCACATCATTTCCTCTGCAAAGGTCAACACTGAAAATGTTTGTTTTTTTCAGAAGGTCTTTAAGCGGCTTCATCTGATGTACACAGTTGGCTACTCCATTTCTCTAGCATCCCTGTTGGTGGCAGTCTCCATCCTCTGCTATTTCAAGTAAGAAATCAAAAAACCTCTATCCTCAACTCCAGTCCAAATTATCAAAGCTTACCAAAAGTGTTTCTGCATCTTAAACATCATAAGTGTGAATGCATTCATGTCTCACAAAAAAAAAAAATGAATTCATGCAATAATCTGTGCAGCAATTTCATGTAAACCAAATACAATTCTGACTTCTTTCTCTCTGTCACAAAAACGCTTTGCAGGCGTCTGCACTGTACACGCAATTACATCCACATACACCTCTTCACCTCCTTCATTTGCCGAGCGGTCAGCATTTTTGTGAAGGACGCTGTTCTCTACAACATATCCGACGACAACAGAGCTGAATCTGAGTTCACAACGGAGAAGTCTCCTATGGTAAACCATGTTTTACGCTAATAACACTGCTTTTTCAGGCAGATGGTTGGATGCGCATACATATGTGTGTGAAAACTAGTCATTAGTCATTGTTCCTCAGACCTGACCAAAGTGTTCGAGCAAAGCCTGAACCCACATGTTGATTCCTTCCTTCGCCTGCTATTTTGTCTCATCAGGCTGGTTGTAAAGCAGCGGTAACTCTCTTCCTGTACTTCCTGGCAACCAATCATTACTGGATTCTGGTGGAGGGATTGTACCTCCATAGCCTCATTTTCATGGCTTTCCTCTCCGACAAGAACTACCTGTGGGCTCTCACCATCATGGGCTGGGGTAGGTGGACCATGAGCAGGCTGCATTGTGGGTGACAGCTCTTGGTCAACTTGCCTTTCTGCTCATGGCAGGTGTTCCAGCTGTGTTTGTGTCCATCTGGGTCAGTGCGCGGGCTTCCCTGGCAGATACTCAGTGAGTCGTGAAATACCTTTCTGTATTTTGATTCATATTTGTCAGGTCATTGTTTGTTCAGCCTATTTCATTGCTGCTTTCAGATGTTGGGACATCAGTGCCGGAAACCTGAAATGGATCTACCAAGTTCCCATTCTGGCGGCCATTGTCGTGAGAATTAGAAATCTATATTCAAATGACATTTAAAGAGTTTTGGATGATGTGAAAAAGTTATATATATATTTCTTCTCTTGCAGGTTAACTTCCTCCTCTTTATTAATATAATTCGTGTACTGGCCTCTAAACTGTGGGAAACCAACACTGGAAAATTGGACCCCCGACAGCAGTACAGGTAACTCATCATGTAACCCTGTAGAAAAAACATTTGAGCCGGCTAAAAGCTGCCATGAATTTGAGGCAATCATCACAAAAACGACCATATGTGTTGCTTGTTTACACACACTCCAAAGTACCCTACAATTACATTAGAAGATAATGGGGACTCCAGTGGTGAAAATGGAGTCCATTAGCTCAACTGTCTTTGGCCTGAACCATGACATATTATCACCTTAAACCAGTCAGGGAGAAGCAAAAGTCATACTGAGTGAAAAGGATCTCAAATGATATACTTTGGCAGCTTAAGAGGTAGTGTTTTGCTTTGTACTCTTATTTCTTGCCTGTAATAATCATTTATTTCAATTTCCTGGAGTAGTGCAAAAAACAACAATGACAAAAACACATCTGGGTGTTGACATGTGGATTCTTTCTTTCCTTAAGTCACAACTGAGAGAGCAAAAAAATCTAGGAGGGGTTTTCCAGCTCTAGAATCTCACTAATATTTTTTGTTTATGGTGAAAAGTCAAATAAAGTAAACAGCAGATAGGTTGGCGAACCCTCAGTTTAGACCAACCAGCTGATACTTCCCAAACGGCATCAAATGAAGGTCCCCTCTGCATATAGTTAGAAGACAACATCCCCCTTCTTAACCCTTTAAAAGCCTGATCCAATTAAAAAATAGCTCCATGAATGAACTTTTTGTTGTGCCCTGCAGGAAGTTGCTCAAGTCCACTTTAGTTCTCATGCCCTTGTTTGGAGTTCACTACATTGTGTTCATGGCTCTTCCCTACACTGAGGTCACTGGACTGCTGTGGCAGGTGCAGATGCACTACGAGATGTTCTTCAACTCTTCTCAGGTCAGAACACAGCCATGAAAATGAACTCTACCTGTGATAAAGTCACAGGTTAACAGTGGTTGATATACACTATAGCACTGATTATTCATGCTAAATATTTTCAGGGTTTTTTCGTGGCGTTTATCTACTGTTTCTGCAACGGGGAGGTAAAGACAAACCTTGGTTCTTCAGAGTAAATCCAGACTGAAACGCTTGTGATTTAGTTGGAAATGACTGACAGCTGTGTGCTCTCAGGTGCAGGCAGAGGTAAAGAAGGCGTGGCTGAGGCGCAGCCTGGTTCTGGACTTCAAACAGAAAGCCAGGATGACCAGCAGCGGCGGGGGCAGCTGTTACTACGGCGGCATGATGTCACACACCACCACCCACAGCGTCTGCCTGTCCGCCGCCAATCCCAGAGCGCTGTCCTGCACGGGGGGGTCGCTGGGCTCAGGTGGCGCTGCCTTTACGGCCTGTAGCTGCGGGGCGGGGGTAATGCTGCCACGCCACGCTTTCCCGGCCTCCCTCCAGCCTCCCAGCAGCCTGTGTGTGTGTGCCGCCGCTGAGCCGGAGACCTCGGGCCAACAACAGGACCTCGCTGTGTGGAAACCAGGGGGGGACGGGGGGACGGGAGTTTTTGCCAGACACATCAGAGGGAACGACAACTGGGACAATCGTGGAGCAGATGATCCAGACAGCTTGTTTTCTGTGAAGGAGCTGGAGACCATCTTATAAAAGCTGCTGACGGACAAGACCCGCAGACCAAGACCCTTTTGGGGAGATTCATGGTTCACTGGATGTTTTTGTAGATGTAATCAAATTTTTAATTCCTTAAGAGTTGGGGGAGACTAAGATATTTGCAGTGCATTATTTATTGGATAGATTTAAAGTTCCTGAAACAACTTTTGTTCTGGGTTTTTTTCTCATCTTTTGGGGGTAGGGGGAGGAGGGGTTGTTTAATTTCTGCCGGCCTAACATGTAAACTAAGATTCAGAGAAGACATGCTGCTTCTGAGAGTTTAGGGAAGTCAGTGGACACTCTCATCTTCCCAGTGTTTGATTTTCCAGGCCAGGCGGGCTGACCCCCCGGTTCAAACTGCACTTCCGACAACCCTCCTTCTTCCAAAAGTAGACCTCCACATACTGTTTACAATGGAGAGCCCGCGATTCCAGGAGTTACTTTAACAATCTATCTGTCACGATTTCATGACTTTTAGGAGTCAGTTGAGTCTAGACAGCATGTCTAGACAAATCCCCACCTCTGTTGTCGTCCATGTGGTCTAAACGCTCCTATTTATCAGTGTGACAGAGTCCCGGGGGCAAAGGCACACACATGTTGCCCTTAACTCTTTCCTTCGTGTAACCCCTGCCCTCAGCGCCCTCACAACACTGTCCAGAATTTCGCACGCTCGCCACAGGCCACGGTTTGAAGCAAAAGGCACCTGAGCTGTTGCTGAAAACCTCGAGCATGAGTGACAAACCAGCAACACAAGCCACCAGTATTCACAAGACAAACAGACACAAATCTGTACTTGTAAATATTTTACGGCAGTTTTTTTGTGTTCAGAAATCGAGTCCTGCTCAGTGTCTGTGCTACGTAAGTGTACCGTGTGAAAAATAATTGGGATCATTCAAAAATGTTTCAGGTGTATGCTTTGAGATTGTAAATAAACCAAACAGAGCTGAGTCAAAGTCTTCTAATATTTTCAATATATGATTGTGTAAAAGAGTTGTCCAGGTTATCAGAGGAGCAGGAATGAGTTACAATATGGGGAACAGTTGACTGGAGTCTTCCCTATGTTGCTGAAACAAACCACTGCAGGTTTAGCTGTCCCCCTTCTGGTTGTTGCAGTTAAAAAAAGAACGGAAAAAGAGAAGAAGGCAAAACAGAGGTAAGATCACTAACGTATTTCTTTATAAGAGCAACATTTTAACCAACCACAGTACATTTCTACATGTTTATGATCCTACAATACTCAAGCAATATTCCACAGGCCAAAGTTTAAATATGAAATCATTTCAAGCAAGATTAGTTCATGATTTTTGTTTTTCCAGTTTTTAATACAAAGACTGGGGGAAGTACATTAAAACTATTCAAACTATGATGATCATATATTTTAATCCTCATGCACAGTCCCAGCAATCGCTGCTCTCTTCAGCTGATCTGCATTCAGAGGATTTCAATAACCGATGTCCTCAGAGCGAAGAAGGGCTGCAAGCAGATAGCAATGTGGTTACTAATTCTGAAGTTTTAACAAGTGCTGTAACTAAAGTGTGGAGGTCAAAGTGAGGTCTGGAAGACCAAGAAAATTAAGCAGACTTCTTCACTTCCGATTTTTTTCAACTCCCTTTTTGAGTGTTAAACCCTGTAGAATGAGTTTTCAGATGAAATGGGTGGTGCACTGGACTACGTTCAGCATTTGTAGCAGCAGCAGAGAGCTATGCATGATAGTGCATCCACCGGGACAATAAAAAGCACAAAGTTCCCAATCCACACCCACCATCGTAAAGAGGCGACCCGCTGTCAGCTCATTAGAGAGGAAAGGGTTGGGGGCCAAAGTGTAATCAGTACTGTGAGACACTCAGCCATATGTGTGTGTATTTCCTCCCGATACAGGAGAGGGAAGACAACGGGAAGGAGGAAAGTGAGGAGGATGCTGGGAAAAGGAAATGAGCCAGAATGATGACTGAGGTGGGTGTGATATTATCGTTATAACACAGGAAACCTACTTTCTTACAAACAACCAACAAGGACAAAGCGTGACACAAGAAAAAAAATGCTTTTCTCTTTTCTCTTAAAAGGCTTTATTACTTTTAAGAGAAAATAGAGAAATCTAAAATCTAACTGAGAGAAAGGGCAAAGAACAACGGAATAGTGCACAAACGTTGCACAATATTTTAATATACATATTAGGGTATTAAAATTCTAGTAGAGATCCTATTTTTAGGGGTCTTAATCTCCATAAAAATATCACATTATGGTCTTATATAGTCATTAAACATTTGTAATTTTTTTCCCCCTTTGAAAATATTCCCTTTAAGCATATTTATGTCCTTTGTACAAGCTTTTTGTTAAGACTTCAGGGTGGTTAATGCTAAAAGAAAAAAAACTTTTATGAATTTGCAGCTCATGTAATTGGAATCAATCAGTCAAACTAGCTGTTCAAAATCAAGTTGGATATTATATAATGTGTTTTTGTCAGGTCTCGCCTGGTATGCTGTTTAAATTTGTGTTTGATAACATGCCAAAATATTAAAACTTACATGACATATTTAATTCCATTAGGTTCACCATGTTGATAGTTTAATTAAGTTAAAATAAAACAGTTTTAGAGAGTCATCAGTCAAATGGATAATGATGAATTCGTCAAGGGAACACCAAACAAGGCCAACCCTTTAGTAAAAAACAAAATAACAAAAACAAACAAAATAAAAACAGAAGAAAAAAACTGCTGTATTGGGGGGTTTGTATTGTCACGGGTGAAGAGATTCGTCATGTCCGCATGACGTCAGACCATCCTGGCCGGTGACGTCAGGTCTCAGTCAAAAGGAGGTGGAGAGAAACAGAGATATCGAAAGGGAAGCAGATGCCTTTCACTCCTCACGCAAATGTGGGAGCGGTAGTAAAAACGGACGCTCGCTCCTCGCCGGACGCACCGGGCTGCCCCCCCCGCTGACCGCCCGCGGCTCGGATGCGGCCCCGCAGCATCCTCCCCTCCACCCACAAGTGACGGTGGCCGACTGGGAGGGGTCCTTTTGGATGGAGCCCGGCTATGTGCAGGCAGCGATGGCCATGGGAGATGTCTCGAAAAAAGCATCGGCTCGAAACGTGGCGGTGGAGAGAAAGAACCTCATCACGGTCTGCAGGTCAGTGGGTGGACAGGGGGGCTCTGGCCTGGCGAGATGTAAACGGACATTTGAACGGTCAACTGAGCGACACTGGGGTTATACTCTTTCCACTAACATTTAACCTCAGCGGTGTCTTCGTTAGTACTACCTATCGGTTAATGAAGCAGTCATCAGAAGGCTTATTTGGGGATCCTTTTACTGTCCTTTTACTGTCCTATCAAGTAGCTGCGTCTGTCCGGAGCCTGTTTTACAGCCCAGCAGCATCAGTATTTACAAGCTACATTAAATACAGCATAAGTTACACAAAAACCCCTCTGATCATGGGAGTTTATGTCGTCTTTGTCAGTACAGTTTATTTTCTCTTCACTGATGGCGTGGTTGCCATGACGACACCCTTCCTGGAGCAAGGACTAGCTGGCACCCCAGGGAGTGAGGGCAGGGAGGCCGTCTGAGGCCTGTACACAAAGCCCTGATTGGGCTGATTGTTAGACTGTTTGAATGTATTTCACTTGAGCATGAGCAATGAATCAGGCATTAATATGCAGAGGTCTTGAATTGAGCATATAAGTACGTACAACCTCTTTGTTTATAGTGTCAATCATATCATTCTTTTAAAGCTTCGGTCAAAGCATTTTGTCCCTCACTCTAACCAATTACTTCATAATTACGTACAAATTATATGTGACCACTGATATGGACTGCATGTAAAGTTAGATATCAGTGTTGTGAAGGTGACAATTTTGGTGAAATTGAATGTATTCTTGTCCTAACCACAACCAGGAAGTGTCCATATAATACCGTTTTTTTTAAAGTGACAGCAAATCAGATCTGGAGACGCTGCTATGTATACTATTGCTTCTAGGAATAATAATTTACAAGATCCTGTTATGGGCTGTACCTACGGGTATGAACAACACCCTTCCATAGGAGTAACTTGTCAAAAAACAAACAAACAACAACAAAAAGAGGTGACTTCTGCAGTTTAAAGTAAAAGACAAAAAGTAACACATTATTTTTATTATCTGAATACCGGTTAAACTTACTAAAGATAATAAATATTTTAGGCAGACACCACAATTTGTGGTGTAATATCTTGTCCAAAGACACTCACGATTACTCAATTAAGGAGTTAGAGCAAAAGCTAAGGAGATGCCATTCCCCTTAAAGACAAAACACTTTGGGAAGCAAATTTTCAGTCAACTGTACAAGATGCTCTGTCATTAATAACAGCCACTAAAATGGGTAAATAACATTTCTTATGAAAGGCTGCATCCATAATCCTTGTATATATATATAACTCAATTTATATACATACAACATAAACACATTTGGACAACGCATTTGTACACTTTTACTGTGCCAATGATGACAGGTCTCAACAGATTATGCTACAACCCTTCTGTCTTTGATGTGTAAAAAAAATTAGAAAAATGTTTTAAAAAAGGACAGCCAATTACTGTCCAATCGAAGAAGCTGAATGAAACATTGTTCCCATTGGAACAATGGGGGAGTGGAATCACTTGACTGACTGACTCATGGCAGCATTGTCTCACAGATGTGCACACACCATTTGGCACATTTGGTGAGTCAGCAAAAAATACATAACCTGAAGCCTTTTTATCAAATCTGCTGGAGGTTTTTTTTATGTTGTTCCTTTTACGACACAGTGTAACTCTGCTTTAACAGACATGGCATTTGGCAGGTGTTCTTGCCTCAAATAGACCCTCTGAATTATTCAGTGTCCAAGAAGAGATTTTGGAGTGGTCATTTCAGGGGAGAGATAACCCTTAGATTTTACTAGTCATTACAAAAAGAGCTCACCATAGTGAATAAAGACTTGTAATCCATGCATTCACTGTCAGATAATGATAGATAATTTGTCCAAGCAAGCCATTAAGGACACATCAGCCAGAGTTTAGTACTCTCTTTGGTCATTATTCAATCATCTCTAAGGTTACAACAAATCGATTAAGACAGTGTATTCTAATAATGAGATAGTGTGATGAGGATGTTCTGTCTTCACCACAAAAAAACATATAACTTCAAGGTAGTGTCTTTAGAACCGTTAACAGGATTTTCATAAAAATTGGCAAAATTTTATTTAGTCTGTTACTTATGTTGAACCAAAATCATGAGCTAAACCTGTGAGGTGTTTTTTGTTGCAGTCTTGGAAAAAAAATGTATAAGTAGATGCTTTGCACCACATTTTGGAAAGCTAACTATCTTCGTTAGCTATTTTTAGCTCCTTCATAATTGAAAGCTATATTATAAAACTACAGCAGTGGTGCTGCATGTTTAAGTAAAGGCTTTAAAAGTTTAGAGTTATTATAGAGTTGTATACTTGTGCACATACACTCGCTTCTACGCTTCTAAATTAAAGTCTTCAATTACCTAACATGAATGGTTTTGGTCTGTGGGAGGAAGCAGGAGGATCCTGAGAGAACCCACACATGCAGGGGGAAAACATGCAAATTCAACACAGAAAGAAAGTAATGACTAGACAATGATGCCGTTATTTAAAAAAGTAAAACTGCTTTCTGGATCCACTAGCTGTATGTCAAGGTGTTTTTTAAAGTCTACACAGACTTGCATCACAGGAGGGCTTCCTAACAACTGTGAATGCATCACATCAGGAAAAAGTCTTTCAAGCCATCCAGTAAATTGAGTTGTTGGATCTTCCGGAAAGCATTCGCTCAACGTCTTGCTTGCAGTAAGTGAATGACATCAGGCTGAGGCACGGACATGAGACTATTCAGGAAACTGAAGCCATAGTTACACTCACAAACAGACACATGGGAAGACTACACGAATATACATAGTGAAATTGATTATATCAGAATGCTCCATACATGGACTTTGTGGTTTTGTAATATTCAAATCACAGATTCAAAGCTGTTTTTATTCATATTTGGATTTCTGATTGGAAACCTTTGGGGGGGGACTAAACAAGGCAGTAATCCTCTCCCTGACTAATATATTCCCATGATGTCATCCAGACTCTGTGTGAAATGATTTGCTTTTCTGTGCTTCTCCACCACGTGCAGGTTTTCAGTTAAGACGCTGCTAGAGAAATACACCGCTGAGCCCATTGACGATTCATCTGAAGAATTCATCAATTTTGCAGCCGTCCTTGAGCACATCCTCAGTCACCGTTTTAAAGGTAAATTGTCGGAGAGAAAATGTGTTGAAGCTCAATTGCATGCCAAGAAATGTGGTGCACAATACTGATAAAGAATAACATTAGAAATAATATTAATTGATTTAGATTAAAAGTTATGCTGAAAAGAAGGACTGTTCATGGTTTAGTTTTTACTGATCCAGACTATGGTTGTACCAGTTGATTGAAACAGATAAACTTTGTTCAGTAAACTATTAAATTTTATTTATTACATTATCTTACAAGGCTCTGGTAGCTGGTTTGATGGCCAGAGGAGCTACTGGGACTATGTCCGCCTTGCCTGTGCTAAAGTTCCCAATAGCTGCATCAGTAGCATCGAGAGTATGGAAAACATCAGCACCTCACGAGCAAAGGCAAGTCCTCATCAACACGAAAGAATACACCCACTACTAATACCAGCAATCGTCCAACTTGTGTTCTACTCCTACATCATGATGTCATTAAATAAGATTCCCCTTTGGTGTTTTCCCTCAGGGCCGAGCCTGGATCAGAGTAGCCCTGATGGAGAAGAGGCTGTCAGAGTACATTGCGACTGCTCTGAGGGACAGCAGGACAACCAGGTCGGAAAACTGATCCTACCTGTGTTACACAGCCCCCGAACAGAATGTTTTTCCTCCCTAACTCCTGTCTTTGTGCCTCAGGAGGTTCTATGCAGAGGGAGCCATCTTGTTAAGAGAAGAGGCTACGGTCCTAACGGGGATGCTTATAGGTTTAGGAGCCATAGATTTCAGGTAGAGAGTCTTAACCTTTGCATAGTCACACTGGACATCAAACAGATCAGTTTAAATGTGTAATTTTCTTTTCTGAATGGTTTCCCTTCCATAGTTTCTGTCTGAAGGGAGAGGCTCTGGATGGAAAGTCCGCAGCAGTGATTGACTACACTCCATACTTGAAATTCACACAAAGGTATGTTTGTTGATACTGAAAGTGATATGATTATTTTGACAGCCAAACAGTTTATTCGGAGCACCCGATGAACAGCTTTGGTTCATTCTCATTTCTGCACTAATAAAGCAGGGAAAATCATCACTTTCTTTTTTATATAACATTTTTATATAACATTCTCTCTCAGAACATTTATGTGCATTATATGCAGTCCAGACAGTGCTTGAAGGCTCTGGCTGCTTTTGTTGCAGCTATGACTACCTGAGTGATGATGAGGACAGGCACAGCGTGGACAGCAGCACGAGCGACGACAGCGTACCCGAACACCCCTACATCCCCCTGGTCACAGACGAGGAGAGCTGGAGCACCAAGTGCCGCAAGATGGAGCAGAGGTTCAAAATCGTCAACGCCCAGAAGGTGTTCGGACGCGCTTTTCGTTTGACGTCAAGCTCGGGAAAAAAACAACATTGAAAAGAACGGAAAATGGTTGAGATTCGGATAGCAACACCTAGAATGACGACGGTGTTCTTTTGTGCCGTCAGGGCTACCTGGAGGAGCTTGTGCGTCTGCGTGAGTCCCAGCTGAAGAACACGGAGACAGAAAACAAGAGGCTAAAGGCCCGGCTGGAGGAGCTGGAGAGCCAGAGCCAACAGGAGAAGAAGGAGCTGGAAGCCGTCATCTTAGAGCTTCAGGAGCAGCTGTGAGGACTTTACACATACCATGGTGTTCAGGTTTCAACTTGAAGAAACAGCAGTAGATTATTTAGCCCTTATGGAGACTGAAGTTCAGTTTTGCAACCTATTACCCAGCGTGACTAACAGGGGCTATTTATTTTTATTGAATTCAGCTGAAATCTTTTTGTTGAGATATTTTGTTGTTATTTTCATGACAGAAAATAAATGTTTCCCTCATGTTCTGCCCTCATGTGTGTCAGGACGAGCTTGATTCCCTGTGACTCACACCACCTGGCTAAAAACCTCACAATCCCCCTGGTCAACCAGTGGCCAGCCCTTGAGCCATACAACAGCCAAGAGGACATAAAGCTGTTCCGCAGGTGTGACTGTCTGTCTTACTGATTTCAACTCAGCTGCAGAACCATGAATAAACATTTCTTATCATGGATGAAATTCCATTAATTGATTAAAGGCTAGACATTTTTTAAATTAGTAAAAATAAGTGTTTTGGGGATTTTATGTGTGTTTTTTTCCCTCACATTCCTGCTGTAAGACAAAGGATTTCAGTTTTGAATTATGATTTCCCAAATTTACATACTGGCAAATTCTAAGAACCAGGAACAGAGCTATTGTGGAGTTTCATAGTTTCAGTTTGACAGTAGACATTTGTTTCAATGCATGTGTTCATTTATTTTTTAACAGTCACTAAACATTTTAAGGCCTGCCTGGGGGCACGCTGCTGTAAGTCCTCTTCACTTACCCTCTCGTTGACCTGTAGACGGAGTTTCCCGAGCACAGAACTTCTTTCTGTGGAGGTCAGCCTGGATTCGGACTCCCACAGGATCGGTGGGAAACAGAATGGCGGAGCGTGGTGCACAGGTAGACCTCACTGATCAGTTTTAAAACAGCACAATCAGAATAATCAACCTCAGTACACACTTCACTTGCATCGACCCTTACTTTGTGCGTCTGTCTTAACTCCACCAGAAAAGGACTACACCCCCTCCATGATGGGCTTGTGTGGATCCTTGGCTTCCCTACCGAGCTGCAAATCCCTAGCGAGTCTCAAATCCAGCGAGTGCCTGGTAAACATCAGTACAGAAAACAGTCCTGCCCTCTCACCTAGCTAGGGGGAGCCAAAGACACACTGCCAACGGACACTGAGACAACTCAACACAAAACAAAATGACTGCTCTTGATGGATGGACACGTGCTCTCTTTTGTGACCCTTTTTGTCAGTCCCATTATTTTACCTTAAGGCTCTGGGCCTGGCACTCCTGCGACCTACGTCTTTGTGAAAGAGTAACCTCCCTCTCTGCGATCGTCCCAATAAAGGAATAGTAGCTATGCTGCCTCACGGCCTCCTACAGTTGCACAGTCTTTCTCCTGGAATGCCAACAGCTGGTTTGGGGTTGACATGTCTTACTGTATGTCACAATGGTCCATTTTGTGCAGTAACAGTCACATACTGCTTACAGAGGTCACTGTAGAGTAACTCTCTATGTCCGTGTCCATTTTGTCTGTGTCTTATCAGTCTGTTAGTGTATATCATTCTGCCTGTTGCATATCTGTGGCAGAATGGATGAGCTTTTGTAGCTTTTTAGGACACAAAAGCATGGTTTTATCATGGTAAAGCAAACTTTAATTTGATGATGAGGAGATATTAGACCATGTTTGTGGTTACGACAACAGACTATAAAGATGATCATTTAAAACTTAACTGAAGCAGCTTTGTGATAATAGGATCTGGGCCGTATTCAATCATACTGTAGGTTAAATACTGAGTTAAGGATGGTTCATAGGCGACATGTGAGACAAATGAGGTTTGCAGAGTTACTGCAAAAAATAAAGCTAGACATGATAGTTGTTGCATATAAATGCAAAGTAAATTGTGACTATGCAGAATGAATGCTTTGTTTGTTTATGTCTTAAAACCTGGCTTGATAGAATAGCTTGTGCAGAAGAGGTGCCACAAATGCGTGTGTGTCTTCAAGTTGTTTCTACACTGTATTCATTTGCATTTTATCTTCTGTCTTAATTTCTTTACTTTCATAATCTTTACTTGTATGATTGTGTAATTTGCCTTCTAATGTGATCTAGTGTTGTTGAGAGCTGGAAAACATTGAGTCTAAAACTGCAATAAAACTGCCTTTTTTGAAACATTAAATGGTTATATGTGTTGTGTGCATATGGCTAGATGACTGACACTGCCATCCTCTTCAGAATGTGGATCATCAAAATGTTTGCGTACCTATTGGGTTGATAACAGTGAAATTTTGTACTTACATTCATGAACCAAAAGGAATGAAAACTGAAGAATTCATGTGTTTATATTTTTGAAGGAAGTAACTAAACGTCTACACCTCTCTCTGACCTTTCCTGTTATAACACCAAGGAGACTGATTCTTATGGTTATGTAAAGTAAATCCTCAAAATTGTTTACTCGGGCAACCATGACTTTTCTCACCTGACATTCACCATAGATTTTGTGGCATTCCAGAGGCAACATAATGATGTGATTTCCACAGAATTTTTTTAACTTTGTCAAGACAAACAATAACAAGAAAAAGGGAAAGGTTTGTGTACTTTTGATGGAAAGCCTTTACACTGAAATAGAAATGCACATCATTGATAAATGTAATTATTCTAGTATTTCATTGACTGGTTTAATGCCAGTAAATACCAGCTGCTCAGGATCAATGTTACACCAGAGTCTAAGTTTACAGCTTTCTCATTTATCTCATGACTAAGAAACCCCCAATTTAGCTCTTTCCCCCCTGTGTCTTGTGTCTTGTCTCTTTGTGTTCATGTCTTTCCTTTGTAACCTAACTTTGTTAAGCATGACATTGTCTCTTATTAAATGAGTTTGAAATAGCTTGCCTTGGGTCAAAGGTTAGGTTCATTTATTTATTAGCACAGACAAATAAACAGAGCTATGCAAACAGCAACTGAATGTCCTTTGGTAAAAGTTAGCGATGCATTATGTTGGAAATACATTCCAGGTTGACATGCAGTCCAGTTAATTCCCTAGCTGCAATTAAATGGATGCTGGGTAAGGTTTGCTGTGTTCAGTTATCTGACTTAGTCTTGTGCGTTTTTGTGAACATGACATCAGTTGTTGGCTGCACTTGCACAGGACAGATGACTGTGCAGCTGAACACATAGTTTAAGACTTTGCTTGTCTGCGATAAAAAACTTTCACACCCTTTTCACTGGGCCAGACAAAAACTGAAGCGTCTTATCTGGTGTGAGGTAAGGTCCTGCGTGATGAGAAGGTTTTTGAGGCTGTGCGGTTTGAATAGGGGAATCTTTTTTACTTTGAACTGGTCTGGGATCGGCTCGTGAAAGTGGTGTCTTGTTATCTTTGCCCTCTTCTCTTGTCCCGCCACTGGCACTCCCTATGCATATACACCACCCAAAACGACTGTAAACCCAGATGGTACACACACACCCAGTTCCCGGTAATGATGCAAAAAACTAAGTGAAGGAAGTGAAACATGAGGAAGACAATTTTAGTCATCCATGCATTGTGATATATTTGGTACAATGCTCCCTGTTCAAGACACATAACATGTTTATTGATACATATGCAGGTCTTATGCAGATATCCCCTCTACATTTAGCAACACACCCAAGCTGGCACACTGAAAGAGCAGTCTTGAGTGCTACTAGCGCACCACAGGACAGTTTGCATTCATCCCTTCCATATATTTTGTACACATATTCTTGTCATAGTAAATACCCTGGGTATCATATACTTCAGTTTGCAGGTGACATAGTCCACATACGGGGGCTGGAAGGAGTTGGACTCAGTCCCGGCTCCTGCCCAGAGCCTGCAGGTAAGAGCTACAAAGAAAGCTCTTATTCCAACCTTTTGATTTGTATATGTGTCCAAATATAAAAATCATGCAAAAAGCGTATGTAATTCCACAGGAAAGCTACTCAAAATTAATAATGTTCAGGGAAACTAAGCTCTGGATGCATGGACAGGGATCTGCAATGTAGTCATCATTTATTTGTATTACACAAACTGGTTTACAGTCATAACATTAAGTTGGAATGTGAAATGTCAACTCAGCCTATCTTCATTGTTTCTTTTTCTTGATTTGTTTTAATATGTCTCAGTTCAATGCTGTGTTACTCTTTGTGAACACTGATAGACTAGACTGGACAAACATATCCATTTGAAAAAACTCTATTTTTGAGGTAAAATTGATTTTTTTAATTTCGTTAAAAAGAGTTTTGGTTGATACCAAAACTATAAAAAATCTTATTTCAACGACTAACGCTGAATGCAAAGCTTTTGTCTTTTTTTGAAAAACTCTACTGAAGCATTGCTAGTTTCTACGACAAATCGATGTGGCCCTTTAAATATTTGAGGAGCACATAAAACATTCGCAACATTAATGCACGAATCACAGCATTTTTTATATACAAGTAAACTGAAACTTTAAAGAAGTTACAACATAAAATTGTTTATCTCCGCTTGAAACGATCGTCGAAAAATCAGTTAATAATGCGAGATATGAATATGGGGCGGTGAATCGTGTGGAGTTTGACGGATTGATGCCGGGATGACCAATCGTATTTAAGTTAAGAACAACGACGACCAATCAAAAGTGGGATTGGACGTTGGCTCCACCCTTGACATAATTAAACCCACTCCAGCGTGGTGGTGGAAGTGTTTGGAGTTTGCCATTAAACAAGAAAGTCGGAGGGCAGAGAAGTGCTTCCACTTGGCAACTTTTAAGGCCACCAAAACAGGCTCCGGCCCTAGAAATCATAATGAAATCCACTTCAGGATTTGCTCGGAAGACGCAGGAGTTGACGTTGAAGTGACTTTTTGAAGCTGGGACTGCTTCCTCGTTCGCTAACGGGGTGAAATATCTCAACATCCTCACAAAGAAACTTTGCTTGCTAGGCTGCTAACTCGCACACAAGCCAGAAAAAAAGTATCTTCGAAGAGGACGTGGCCACAATAAAACGCTCCATGACTCGAGCTACGTGTTGCTCGTCCGAGTAAAGTTCCTCTCTTTCCTCGGAGGTTTTATGTTGTGTGATTGTGGAGTGAAATTTGTAACGGTTTCGAGTAGTCATCATCACCACTGGAGGAAGAGTTGCAGCTGGTAATTTAGCCTGCCACCACCAGCGCCCCCACATCTCCACCAGGCAGGACAGCTACAGCTAATTTCAGGTAGTTAGGAGCTAAGTGGTCCCAGATTCGCTACTGTAAACATGTCTGGCCGAAGTGGCGCTGGACACACAAGACCTGCGGCTGTGGGTCCTCAGCCCCTCAAGGCCACCGTCCCCTTTAGGCTGGCCAGCAAGCCCCGACCGAGCCGGAGGGATGGGAAGTCAGGTATGGAACTCAACACCTGTCACCGTACGACTCTCTTTACCATCTGTTACCTTCACTAACTCGGTAGTTAAGAAAGAAAGCCGTGTTTGAACACCGCAGAAGGGTGTCGAAAAGGACTTAGGAGTTACAGCATCTTTTAACTGCAAAGCGACTTCCCAACGAACTTTTTCACCAAACCACCAATAAGCTGTGCTTTCACTGTCATAGAGGTGATTCTGTGTCAAATTAGTTTCGTTTAAGGTGTTGAATGAGCTTTAACAGGAACTGAATTAGAAAGCAGTTCAATAGATTAAATTAATTAAAAGTGATGTAAATTATTCTTTAAAAAAGTAAATATTTTTAATGGACGTACCATCTTTAAATTGACTTAAAGAGGGTACTAAGGGTACTAAAAATATATTTTTAAATATACTTAGTCCATCCACATAGATTGCTGAGAGTTTAAATCTATTTTCTAATCATCAGGTGTTGATGTCGTAAAATGTATTATGAAGTAGCTTAAAGCTAGATGTGTCTAAACTTTTGTATTTGAAATATAAATGAGCATGTCATCATTTACTTTCAAAAGTGGGGAAGTCCAAGACCCACCAGCTGGCCTCGGGCATGAGGCGGACCATGTCCCTTGACGCCATCATCGGGCCTTACCTTCAAGGACACTGGCCGAAAGAACCGGAGAGCCAGAGCGGTTTGTCTCGCAAGGACAAATCCACCCAGGTGAGCAGCCTTTAAAGAGGGGTGGAAATATTAACCCTGGCAAGTTGGAATATGAGCTGCTGTATGAGGAATGACTGGAATGCTGTACTTTATCACCATATTCTCACTCAGAGTTGATTTCATACATCATCACTGTGTGTGCTGAGTGTCAGTGTATCTGTGGGACATGACTCAGGATATATTAGTCTCCAGGGCTTGCACAGAAAGAAGCTGCAACAAGATAGAGGCTGTGAGGGAGTGTCCGGTGTGTGCAGCTATTACACAGTGTGAACCACAGCCATGAGAACAGTCCCTGAAGTCAGCTGACGAGGTCGTTTTGGTTGCACCCATCCTCTCTGCTCCGTGTGCAGGCACTCGCCACTGCTCTACGGTTGCCCACATCCTCCACCCGTACTGTTTTTCAGTTTCTCCTGCTCTTTAACTTTTCTATAAGTGTGAAGAGAGTCTGTGGGCGTTGATGGTGTAATATGGCTGCAAATGAGCCTTTCGCATGAGAAGATTGTCTGTGTGAGGTGTCAAACTATCAGGGACGCAACAAAAAAAAACTGATAGATTTCAGATGGCATATTCTGTTCTTCACATGCAGTCTGGTTTAAAAAGCACTGTTTGTCTGATTGTTATTCCTCTCCTCCAGACGCCGGACTCGTGGGCAGATAAGTCTCACAGCAGGAGGGGTAGCAGCAGCCACAAGCGTTCAGCATCATGGGGCAGCGCAGAGCATCTGCGAGAGGTCAGCCTCCAGCTTTAGTCGCTTAATACGGGTTAATAGCAGACGCACTCTCCAAACTTTACCTCTTGTGTTTTTGTAAAAGTGGGCAAGTGCATTCAAAAAAAGAAAAAAGGCTGACTTTTTCCCCTCTTCCTGACTTTGTTGAGCAACAGGAGGCATATGATCTCATCTGAGAGCATAACTTCCTTTTTAGTTTTTATTTTCATTGATTTCTCAACTGATCGATGTTTTAATCTAAACTAATGCATAATGGCATGTAGGAGGTGCTCGTAAAAATGCTTTTTATGGTACCCTATTATTTGTAGTGTCGTGTGTTTTCGTGTATGGGCTGACTGACAATAACATGTGTTTAATTGCAGATTGCCAAACTAAAACAACAGCTCCAGCAGTGCAACAAACCGGCCGTCTCTGGGGGACAGGACCGAGATCGTCCGTGTACTTATCCTCATGGGAACTGTAGCCTTGGAGCTACTCAGGTACCTGGTGGCACAAACACAGGGCTCTGCTGACTGCACACGGGCTTTATGAGGGGACACGCTCTTCTGTCAGAGCGAGCTGTCTGTTTCCACATAGTTAATCACTGATTAGAAGTGAATACTGGGGCTGTGCAGCTGTGAGCAGGAAGTGAATCAAATAAAACTCTAAAGCAACAGGAAGAACAGTACATCACATTTGCTTCTGCTTCTCGGGAAGAAATGCATAGTTCTGCTTTTCGGCCCAGCTGGTACTCATGCTGCTGCTCCTCACTGGGTCGTGGTGGTTTCTGACTGAAGTGGCTGCAGATCAGTCAAAGCCAATTTTAGTTGTTTATGAAGCACAGGAAGTTTTTTTTTTTTCCTCTCTTTTTTTTAAAAGTTTGGTTTTACAAAAAAAGGCTTCTGAGAGTTACCGGAAGCCTGGAGGATTTATTTAATGTATACGGGGGAGCAGCGCTAACACTGCGCCGCATTACTGGGCCATCGACATAAAGCACGTCTAGAGAAAGATGAAAAAGATGTTTCCGAAAGGGTTTAGCGTCTTTGCATAACTTCACGTGGGCTTGTGGCTTGTTTGTGTCTTCAGACTCAGCCCATTCCCATCCCCCTCAGTCCCCTGTCTACGCTGGTCCCCCGGCTGCGCTGCAGCGTGGAGGGCCTCAACCAGGAGCTGGAGGGCATGTTCATCAGCCAGCCGCCACTGCCCCAGCACACGGTGAGTGCCCCCTGCAGCCGGCGCCGGTGGAGGCCTTTCTGTTGCCCCCTGCGCGTTTCCTGGAAAGTCCTGAATAATGTTGCTTTCTGTAAAACCGTTTGGTTTCCGGTTTGCACAGCTTCTGGAGGTCCCGGACGGTCATCGAGCTCCGGTCCCTCTGCACAGTTGCAGCAGTGGATCTCAGAGTGACAGCGCCACCACACCGCTGTCCTCCCCCGCCTCCTGCTCCCCCTGCTCCTCCCCCAACTACATCTGCACCTCCCAGCTCAACTTTGTGGATGTTTCTGTGGATCCTCAGCAAGGTTTGTTGACCAGTTTATTTTTCAAAATTTCTAATCGGTTGACTCAGTTTCCGTTGTTTGAGTCATTTGGTGGTTCCTGGCTGACTTTTCTGTGGCCTTTTATGGAAACTAATTGTTGATCCCTGCCCGTTTTGGGGCTAATGAGGGACTCTGCCCTCTGCCCACGCTTTGAACTGTCAGATAGTGCTCAGAAACTAAGAGCTGGCAAGCAGTCATGGGCTGACACCAGGGCCGTCCAATGGAGTGGGCGGGAAAAGTAGCAGCTGCCTCGTTTTCTCAGTTTTTCCTGTTTCTTGCCCTCTGTGCTGAATGTGTTGCATTGTGTAAATCACAAGACATCCCTCAATATTATGAAACGTATGCAGAGGGCAACAAAAAATCCGTAACTGTGTGGAAGTGATGCAAGAGGAAGCATATGTTTACATCAACAATGGAAATAGCTGAATTTGGTCTGCCAAAGCAAGACTTTTATCTTAGATATAAACCTGTCATCAATTCGAAGCTCTAAAAGCTCGAAGAAACAAAACGACCGGGCTTCAAACCACTCCTGCAGGTATTTCCAAGCCCAGATTAAAAATAAATCATCGTTTCATAAGACCTGTGTGTCGGTGTGAAGCCGCACACAGGTGCATTCCCGGTTAAGCTGGTTAAGCATTCAAACGACTTTCCGTCTCCCATGTCAGAGGGCTTGATGATCCAGGAACCGTGACTGAAAGGCTTTTTCTCAGGGCTCACGGCAGCTGGTCTCAGGTGTTCCTGCTTTATGTGAAAACAGCTCTCGGCTCTGGAAAAACGGTCACACTGTCCTGGTTTCACCCCTCATAGGTGGTGCAGAGATGTGCCTCTTGTCCCCGTCGTCCTCCCAGACCGAGGCTGACGTCTCCCTGCCTCTGCTGATCTCATCTTCTCCAGGACCCAACAAAAGTTTCTGCTTCCAGAGAGAGCCTCCGGAGGGCTGCGAGAAGGTCCGAGTCTGGGAGGAGCTGAGGTATGTTTTGGTAGTTAAGGGTTTTTTTGTAACCAGTGGACGTGACTAAAGCTACATAAGACCTCTTTAAGGGGGTTAAATTACCCTTTTTTCTTTTCTTTTTTTACATAAAAGGTTTCTGTTCCTTCAAAGCAATCCATGCATGAAGGCTGTTCAGTTTGTTGGCTTGGAGATTCATCAGACTTTGTCCATGGCTGAGAAACTACACCCGTGAATATAGATTTGACTGGCATTTGTCGGTTTTAAACTTAGTAATGGGTGATCCTGATGATTTTATCACAAAGTTTGCGTTTTTTAATTTTTTTTTTATGTAGCCCTGCCTTATTTACACCATTTATTCTTTTGGATATCAGTTTGGCCTGACAGCCACATCTCCTTTTACTCTTTAGTTCTCCACGGCAGCCCAAGCCAGCCCTCGTCTCCTCCTGCCCAGACCCCAACAAAGTGAACTTCACCCCCTATGGGGGCTCCGCCTTTTGCCCCGTCAGCCTCCTTAAGCCCCTGCTCCCCTCCATGGACCTGTGGTTCCGCAGCCTTGCCGTCTCCCCGCCAGGCATTTGTCTGAGCCAGGGAACAAGTCAGACGGCGTCCTCTGGTAACCGGGCTTCTCCCCCAGAGCCCCCGGCAGCCACCTCTGTGATGACGGAGAGCTCTGGAGAGGGCCTCGCTTTCTGATCACAGCTGCCCAGCTTCTCTGGGGGAATAATGTGGCAGATATTTAACTGGTTGTGGAAAGGTGTTGAGTTTGTGTTGCAGGAAAGCCTCAGTCCTTTCTTTTAAAAGTATAAAATAACCAGTTAAATTCAAATCTTTTGAGGGGAGAAAGGAGGAATATTCTAAACAATCCAAAGGAAGTACGCGATAAGCTATAGTTTTGGGTTCTATAAATTTGGTTCCATCATTTTGCAATCCAAAGAGATATCGTGGGGGGGGGGGAGTGGGCGATTATGGAGCTTTGACATGTTCGTTTGATGACTGACTGCTCACTCACTGCACAAATTTGTTTTCTTTCTCCAAAGAAGCCATGACCTAATGTTTCTTTACTCATCTCTGTCCAGCATGTCAGGAGTCTGGGTCCAGTATGAAAACCCCCTCTTGGATGAGCTTGCTTGTTTTTAAAGTATTCAGAGATATTTATGTGCAGCTCGACCTTGCACGTGTCGCTAGTGCATGACAAATCAGTTGGGTACTTTATATTTGCTTGATTGAAAAAGGAAAGACAATGAAATCACATTTTGATTATCGTAGGCTGAAGGGAAGTTGGAGCTGGGTAGCATCAATACCTTCAGGCTTCAGCTCTCGTATCCGTGCTTTAAAGTTTTACAAGTTTCTGTTATCTTTGTGTACTTGTAAAAGAAAATAAGAAAAAAAAACAACTAACTTTTGTATGTGTTAGAGGATAAAGTCCTATAACTCATTCCTGTTTGTAGATGTGTGTTTGAAGGTGTTTTTATAGTTTGAGGTTTCACAGCCTAGTTGACTACCTAACCAGTTTTAGTGGTATAGATGTGTCATCCTTGATGTTTTGCTGAAGATGATTTTTTTTTCTTTTTGTGCTGCCAAGCTGACAAGTCGATGATCAAATAGTTTTATTTCTGGTAGACATGTTTGCACAAATTGAACTGCTACTTTTTGAGTCGCAATTCTTATTTTTATATTCACTTTTTGTACTTTGTTGTAAATTTCAGAGTAGTAACATGTATTTTCTACAACTTTTTCAGTTACCTGCTGCATAAGCTAAAGATCCCTGTTTTAGTTTTGTTACGTCAGTCTGTTCCAGGCAGGTGTTACATTAGATATTGTATTGGGTAGACTTATATGCACTTCCAGGGAGAGGCCTTCTTTAGAGAGTCTTTTCTTCCACATGTTGTTCCTGGGTTTGTTTGTATGTGTGCATGTGGATGGAAAGTTGACTGATCATTTCACTAATTTCTAGTTTTTAGTGTTCTGGTGAAATGCAGATGGATTGAAGCATTCTTTTTTTTTTTCCAAAATCATTACTCAATGTTTCCTGAGTCTTTTTGGATGCTGGGGAAGTGCTGTTGTCTCAGGTTCTGTCCACATAAACATATGATGATAAACTGTTGACTGTGTCCTGTTTCTATGTCTGCCAATTGCTCCCATGCCTGCCGCCTCATTTGGAGGCTTTAGTACTGGAGATGGAGATCAGTATTTTTCCTGAAATTCACATATTGGAGAGCTGACAAGTTTCCATTGTCCGGCATTTCATTTAAAAAAAAAGTCTGTCATTTAGAAGTCTCATGAAATTTTCAACATGATTATTTTCCATCACTCTTTTAGATGTAAAGGGATATTTTCAGATCTTTCTTTTATCCATTTCCAAAAGAAACGTCAACACTTAATAGTTTAGGGGAAGAAAAACTCTCAAAGCAAACTGCAAAATAACCTTTATTCAAACATTTTTCCCACCTGTGCATCACAGCGTGTCATCGGAGGCTCATGGTAACAATTACTGGGCTTTTTTCTGGTAGTTGCTTAATTTATCCCAGGAAAGTAATATCATTTACAGTCCAACTGGATCCTAGAAATTGGAGTTTATAAGCCTCCATCTGCTTATGAGGTGGGTAACCCATCACGGGTTACACTTTATTTTTTTTGTGCCATGTTTTACATGAAGTTCTGTGTTGGCTTATTATGACGATGAACCATCACCACATACTGGTTGTGTCAGGATAATGTTTACTCTCTAACCCCCCCCCCATACAGACGTCCAAAAGTCATATTAAATTCAGTAATAGACATGGAAATTAAATGGGGCGCATACAGACTAAATATTACAGACAACATGAGCTTTCAAGATAGCTATCGAGAAAATTGCAGATCCTCGCTTATCTTTTTAGACAATCCTGTTGTCTGTTCAGACACTTTATCACTTCCAGTAAACGGTCTCTTACTCACAGTTAAAAATAGGAATGAATGGATCACCATGTGTTTCTGAAGTCCGGCTCATTTCCTGAGTGTGATTGTGTTGTACATAAATATCGAGGGGAAAAGGAAAGGAAAGGAAAGGAAAGGAAAGAAGGGGTTTCTTTAGGACATAATGAGCATCAGATATTCAGCTGTGGGTTTGTTGTCGTCGCGTGCTGTGATTGGCTGACGGTGGAGGAGGCGGTGAGAGGCTCCGCGTGCCTTCAGGGCCCTGACCATCCGCAGGAAACCCACCGGCAGCAGCGGCGCGTGCTGTCCACAGACATTCGCCTTAGCCCACTTTTGCTGGAGTATCGTCCGCCATGTCGTCCATGCTCGGAACGGTCGCCAAACAGCTCAAGAACCACCCAGCCGTGAGTCCCCTCGTCCGCACCGACGTTATTTTTTTTTTTTTTTTAACACAGCCGGTGACATTGAAGGGTGTCTTTGAACGGCGCGAGCCGTTAGGTGGCATGCGCGCTCACGACTGCCAAAATCTCACTAATTGTCCGATTGTCAAATATTGAACCAAATAGGATTGGTATTCATTCACAGGCGTTTTATTTCTATTGGTTCATTTTAATCGGTTAGTGTAAACGTATGGCTGCATAGGCCTCGATGATTTATGGCACAGATGGAATCACATAAAATGTCAAATCGGTCACTACGTTTATCAGATTTAGGAATAAAACGGATTGGAAAAAGATTAAATCAAGCTTAAGTCCACTGTTTCTGTTGTGACTTGTCTAATGTCTAATTGTTGGCTTATATCCAAGCTCTGACACCCCCCCCCCCCCCTTGTTCAGACAGAATTTATTTTAGGAGCATTACATTTTGAGTCACCTGCTCGAATTAAGTGTTATAGGAGCTTCTCTCTGTCATTCAGAGAAGAACAGCTGTAATAAGAGTTGTTATAATGGTGTAGGAAATGAAATCCAGTCACAGCCATGAGCATGGGTCGCTGGAGCACGTACAGCGTTGTTTGGTCTCCATACTGCTCTGACTGAAGTCTATTTTTCCAAGGACGACGGGGTGAGACGGTTTGCTTTATGGCAGCCTCCATCTTACCGGGCCGCCGATGTGTTTATGTCCCGCAAAAAATCACTTTCCAGCTGTTTAACACCCTAAAGTGACCTTTATGTAATTAGAATTTGTTTTAATAACGTGACAAACACAGATATAAGCAGGGACTCATATTTCAGGTTGTTATTGTTCCTGTTAAGGGTGACTTTGAATGTTTTTTTTTGTTGTTTTTAATCTGGTATTTTGGTAATAGTGTTTTAATTTTAAGACAAGGTAGTTTGGATAAAACAGGAGGAGGTGTTTGTAAATGTAATAATTATACAGACTTGTGTAATGAGAAAATTTATCCCCTTTGCCCTCCAGCTGATCCCGCTCTTTATTTTCATTGGCGGCGGGGCAACCATGAGCATGTTGTACTTGGGGAGACTGGCTCTGAAAAACCCTGACGTCTCGTAAGTCTCACCTGTGTTGTTTTCTTCAACCCCCAGCTCACTTTTTTGACAATCTGTTTTTTCAAACTTGGAAATGGTTTTAACAATGCTTAGTGTTTTACAAAGAGCCAGAGGAAGACTTTTCCCTTTTCTCTGTCTTCAGATGGGACCGCAAAAACAACCCAGAGCCCTGGAACAAGATGGATCCCACCCACCAGTACAAAGTAAGAGTCCAACACGTTAGTGGCTCCTCTGGTTCCTTTACCTGTCAGTTTAAAGCCTAAGCCACGTTGTTGCTGTTATCTTACATAAAGTCCAGAGTGCTTCTTTTGTACTGATTGTGTGTATTTGGCTCTGTGTGTGTTTGTACTTCCAGCTTTTCACAGTGAACATGGACTACTCCAAACTGAAGAAAGACCGGCCAGATTTCTAAGTCAACGCGTCCTCTCTCTTCTGTGAGGAGCCTTTGCTTTTTTTTTTTGCCAAATACAAAGAGGCCATGAGACTAAATGAAGGTTGAAATGGGCTCCTTTGCCTTTTATTACCAATGTGAAAGAGAAAGGGGGATCATTCATTTACAGATAACTT